AAAGAGGAAGTACAGCATCGCGAATCGAGACAAGATCGAGGACGTTGTTAAAATAATTCTTAGAGCGACGACGGAGACTGAATATGAAGTAGGGCTGAGATACGTGTACTATGTTGTTGACGGAAAGCAGGTCACGCTTGAAGAAGAAATCCCAGCGTCGACACACCCAGTAACCACTGGTGCGGCGCCATCTTCGACATTAATTCCAAACCAGCACGGAGTACAGGGACCCCTAACAGATGCCGAAACAGCTCGACACATGCGAAGACATCATCAAGGCAGTCTTTCCAGAGATGGTGGCTAGCGTGAAATGGAAACGAGAGACGCGAGTGAAGCAGGCAGACGGACACAGTTGCGGACCTCTTGTTCTCCTGCTTTTTTTAGTGCACGATTCGTGATATCGCCTTGTCCAAGTCTCCCTCAAGTACGCTGCATCGGTACTACAGACTGAGGTACATGCTAAAATCCCTGCATGTTTAGGAGAATAGATATCCGGTTTCACGTAGGCTGTCGCGCTTAAGTGGAATAGTTCCCTCAGTTCATACACGTAGCTGTCCGTGCAATTGATTCCTTAGCCGTTTTCTAACTCGTGGATCACCATGTTGGTAGAATAGTTGTATCAGCTTAGTGCTGCAACGAGGGTCTTTGCTTTGATACTTCGTATAAAAAATCACGACAAACACTTAGTTATTTGTTTATTCTAGCAACAAACACAGACGCATTCAGACTCGGGTAGCATCTACCGCTTGCACAAACACATTCCCCAAAATTCGTATGACAATGTGGGACATACAAGTGCTTGTGTTAGACAGAAGGTCTGACATTTACTAAGATCCCAATTCTCTCCCCTGTTTTTTGGGAGTATACTGACAGCAAATCGCAATTCGCCCCGAAGAAGTCAGACCTCTTGTCGAACCGGAAATGGAAGGCTACGATTGGCAAACGTTAGATCAAACAGTTCGCGATATTCGCGATAACACAGTGACCGCACGCTCAAGAGCCACTTATCAGAACGCTTACAGTCGTTTTCTGGCGTGGTTTACCTGCCACAAACCGCATCTCGCACCCAGGCCCTTTCTCAAAGACCTCGGTGATATTACGGAGTGCTCGCTTCAACAACTACGCTCTCGTATCAATGAATTTGTTGTCTAGAGCCGCAGTATTTCCCCACTGGACTTTGCGGCATTAGACGCATCTGACTTTGTTACATGGCTTGTGACGCTAGAGCGAAAGGTTGGCGGTACCCTAAGCTACTCCGCTCTGAACACGCATCGGGTAGGGCTGTTTAGCTTGTTTCGTGGATACGACCACACCATGCCCAAGCGCTTAGAGTCAGAAATCACAAACTACTTCAAAGGGCTCAAGCATAAACTTGCGAAGGACGCAGCTAATGGTGAGACCTCCGTCAAGACTGGTAAGGGACCGCTCATGTTTGATCTGTACTCCTTCCTGTGCAAAATTATGCTTACTCATGCAGGCAAGGAGATGGTATTTGCCCACGCATACATGGTAATTGCTTGGAATCTCATGTGCCGCGCCTCCAACGCATTTGGAATACGCCATTCACATATGGAGTGGAGAGGCGGCGCGCTACAGATTTACTTCGCGCATATGAAGAACGACCAAGGTGGTGAAAGATCGCGTGACCCTCGCCATATCTACGCCAACCCGCTACAGTCAAGTATTTGCCCCATTCTCGCTTTAGGACTATATTGGTCGGTTTCAAATTTTGACGGTAGTGACCTACTTTTCCTCGGCAGCAACCAGTACGAGCGCTTTAGAAAGTGTTGGCTGCGTCTATTGGCACACGAGGATGTAGCCACCAAATTGCAGCGTCAGGGTCTTAACACCACCGAACTGGGGACTCACTCAATGCGAAAAGGCTCAGCCACGTTCTGCTCTTCAGGGTCAACTGCATGCCCATCGTCTACTGCCGTTCATTTGCGAGCCGGTTGGTCGCTCGGAGGGGTACAGAACACATATCTTCGTTACGAGGCTGCTGGCGACATGCACGTGGGTCGTACAGCTGCAGGCCTTCCTACTGAAAGCTACCGGTTCTCGACCTTAGCATCACATTTCGATACACGCGACGAGTGTGCTGTGATCGGGCTGAAAATGATGTTTCCAGCCTTACCCAAAAAGCTCGAGTACATCGCGGAGTACTGCTTAGCATCGTTGGTCTACCATTCGTCACCCTGAAGGATATTGTCTCTCCACAGCACCACATTTTTGAGACGCCTATTTTCCAAGATGGAGAGCTACTATCAAATCTGACAGACCGAATACGGACAGCTGATGGGTGCACTGAAGCTCGTATTCGCCCGACAGGAGTGCCACCCCATGTCTCGATACTATTTGAAATGAAAGGTCGGAAGGACGGGCTGCTTGACGCGCTAGCAAAAATTGAAGCTACGCGAGTTGATACTGTGCAGGACATTATATCTGAGCTGGAGAAACGTGCTATCGGTGCCGGTACTGTTACATACGACGGTCTTCATGATGCAATTAAGGCGTGTCTTTACGATACTGGCGTTAATGATCTTGTAGAGAAGCTAACAAGCGGACATGATTCTGTCGTCGACAGTGCCACAGAAGATAGCAGTCGCCATCTCTATCACTACTGGGAGGGAAAATTTCGTCGTGTACCCGCTGATTTTACTATTTTCGATTGCTCCGTTCGTCATGTATGGGTGCTTTGGATGTGTGGTAACAAGGCTAAGTAGGTACCGCCGCTCGCTTACTTGATGGCCGTGATATGCCAAGCAGGAAGATGTAAAAGCGTCTGAGTCAGATCCGCTACCTGATGCTCAAGATCGAGAGCGATGCTGCATCTAAAGATCTGCTCAGTCGCAGCCATGCCATCGATGGCGTCACTCAGGTGTTCGTTGAGTGCTCAACCAGCGTCGCTGTTGACGAAACTACTGAGAATTCACGCAAACGACGTCGCGGGCAGCTCAGTTGGGCGACAGTAGGAAAACTGCTGAGAAAAAAGCAAAAACAACAGCTAGTTAACGTCACACACCAAAGAGAGCGATGTTACACACCACTTCTCTTTTGTACCCATCTATTCAGCGTTTGTACCCACCTCTCCAACATAATACAAACTCACCTGTCTGACACTTGTCTAACGAGTTCCGTCTAAGAATCATTCACTGGCTCAAAGCCACTTCAAGATCTCTACAAACGATAAGGCTTATAAAAAAAGCCGGTACCGTATTTTATTTTTATTGTGCTCCCCCTATTTAATCCTATGCTTCTCATACATATAGCAGTCACATATTAAAAGTGGCGACAATTGTACGCACTTAAGTACGAAGTAATAAAAACATTGTGTGACTCTAACATTGATCTTCAGAAATTCATGGTTCAGCGAAACTTAACACTACATGTATAATTTTTCATGTGTCCAGATTTGTTGCATTCACACTTGCTCAACTTTGGGAGCCTCAAGAGAGGGCAATTGTCGCCTCATTTATAATAGGGTGATCGATGTATCGCTCTACTTTAAGCCACCGACTAGCAAAACTGAGGGGTAATATAAATATTACATCTATGCTGTTATCCTTTTGAGCGAGGCATACTACATTCTCTTGGCCCAGTTCACAGCATCGCAATTCTATGACCTCTTATTCATAGCAGCGAGACCTTTACCTTTGAACCATTTTTTGGGTACATCTTAAAGACCTATTTCTAATTTTGGGTACCTCGAGCTCCATACCGGTAGTCAGGGCGATTTGCCTTTTTTATGGACTTCAATAAATAAAGCGTCCTCATTTTATTAAAAATCGACGATGAAGCTAACGTTAGACTCTGAAAAGCACAATAAAAAGAAGCTTGTACTATTAAAAATAGCCAAGTATCAGCGTCGCGGCGCGTCACAGTGCCACTGTGAGTCGGGCACCGTGCCCGGCGCTGCACGTCAACTTCAAAACACCTAATTCTGGTAAAAAAAACTATAAAGCATGCACTCGAGGTAGCATTTGAAAATGAAAGCCTTGACCTATTACATGTAATAGCTGTTAAGGAAAGGCGTTGAGCTGTGTTCGACAAATTAAAAAATGAGCTGCGCGCACTGAGCATCTGCAGGCCAGATCGCAAGCTGTGCTGAGTGGCCCGCCTCTGTCAAAACACATTGAAGACGGTACAGCTGGGAGCAACAACAACAAAAACAAACCGTTTCTTCCTCGCTCTCTCTCTCTCTCTACTGTACATGTAACAGAGAAAAAAAGTCTCTTTACTGCTCAATGAGCAGTAAAGAGCAGTGCTCATAATATTTGGAGCTGCACCAGCTACCAGTATATTGATCGACTGATCATCTTTATTACTAAGTAAGTTTTAAATAAAAGCGCGGCCAGAGAAATTATATGAGGATACAGTGCAGTGGACCTTCACTTTCCGCCTGATATTCTTTAAGCGGCGTAGCTCCCTGGTTGCTACATTGTAGCTGATGACGAGCTGCCCCGTGGCGGCTTGGTATGCGTCGACGCCAAATGGATCAAATGGACACTCTTCAAAGACGAACCGGATCTTTGCGGGACGTTCAGTGCTGTATCAAAAACTGCCTTAACATGTGTCCAATTATAATAGAAAACCACAAAAAATGAACCGTAGTACTGAAAACGCTGTTAACTATAATATGTATTACAAATTGGTTCTAAATTGGGGCAACATGTAGTGGAATCAGGCTGTGTATTTATTCAGTTTTCCTTTCAAATCTTCTCTTCAATGAGAGATAGAGAGCTCTGCCCTAGTGAAAGACAAAACTCGACATGTTTTCAAGAGACGGAAACAAGATGGGCTGAGGACATGTGCTGAGGTTGCTGAGTCACACGATTAACCACTCAGTGAGTGGGGGCTTGGGGTTTAATCGTGTGAAAATAATGCCATCAGGAGTTCGTCTCTGCTGAAAGGCGGGACTGCAACATCAAACCATACACTTTTCAATTTGCCTCCTTCGTCTCAAGTCGACCTCAACCACCTCGCTCGAATCGTCGCAAAACATGGCAGGAGGAAAGTTCATGACGCTCGAGGACTTCAAGATCGCCTTCAACGTCTTCTGCTGCGTCTACGGAGTTGGAACGCTCGGTATGCCCGGCAACTTCTCTCGAGCTGGCCCCGTGCTTGCCATCATCGCCATGGCCTTCATGGCCTTCGCCAACGTGTACGCGTCCGTGGCCATTTGCCGCGTCATGCTACTTGCACCCAAATCCGTGCGCACGTACGGCGACCTGGGTGCTTGGGCTGCCGGCAAATGGGGCCACTGGTTTGCCGTCGTCTCGCAGATGGCTTCGTGCCTGCTCGTGCCGTGCGTGTTCCTCGTACTCGGTGGCTCGCTACTCAACGGTCTTTTCGCGGGCGCCTTCAGCGACACCGTGTGGATCATCCTCATGGCTCTCATGTGTCTGCCGGTCTGCCTTATCCCGACTCTGAAGGAAGGAGCAGGCGCCGCTTTTGCCGGTTGCCTCGGTACCATCATCGCCGACGTCATCGGTGTTGCAGTCGTAATGCACGGCATGCGCGGCCACCCGTCCGTACCGGCACCCGATCTCAAGTTCTCACAGGTCGCCGGCGTGTTCGGCAACCTGTCGCTCGCATACGGTGCCGGCGTGGTCATCCCGGCGCTGCAACGTCAGCACAGCGATCCCAAGCGCATGCCGCGCGTTGTCTTCTTCACGATCACGCTCATCTCTATCCTCTTCCTAGTTCTGGCCAGCACGGCCTACTCGTCCGTTGGCTGCCAGATCACCGGCAACCTGCTTTTCTCCATCTACCCGGACGCCGACACGGGTCTCACCACGCTCGGCTTCAAGTCGGATTGGGGTGCCGTTGTACTTGCCTATCTCTTTATGCAACTGCACGTGACGATCGCCTTCTCAGTACTGCTCAACCCGCCGTTCTACCTGGCCGAGCGTATTCTACTCGGCATGCACAAGAAGAAAGAGAGCGATATTGAGAACGCAATCACCTACGCTGAAGCCTCAACGCCCGCCAAGGACTCGACCGCTAACCCGGCTGTGGACGTGTCGGAGCGCCGGTCCAAGATGTCGTATGTGTCGGTGGCCGATGCCGAAAACCCACACTTCGGTGATGAGGATGAGACCGCCGAGTACCGTGGCGCCAACGCCATCAAGTACGTGCTGCTTCGTGTGGCTATCATCGCTGTACTAGTGATCCTGTCGATCGTCCTGAAAGACCATTTCTCGGACCTGTCGGACTTTGTTGGCGCCTCGTGTCTCTCGCTTAACAGTATCATCCTGCCGATTGTATTCCTGCTCAAGAAGTGTTGGAGTTCCCTTCCAATATACGAGAAGGTCCCGGCCATTGCTGTTGCCGTTGTGTGCAGCATCCTGGCCTGCTACGTGACGTACACGTCGGGAAAGACTTTGTTCTCGCCCACAGAGTCGGACGTGGAGTTCCCGTACTGCGACTCGGAGTTCGAGAACAAGGTCTACTACAACTACACTGCCGTGCACGGAGCGTAAACGAATCCACGATAGATTGCTCTATATCGTCACTGCTTGTTTCATGTAATAAAGTTTGATTGCAACTGAGACTTTAAACCTCTGTATCACTCTTCCCAAACCAGGAAGCGTCGAGTCGAATTTAGCACCATGACGAAAATATCATCGACAGCAGCCGAGTCGACGAAGAAGTTGCACGGCAATGGCCTTGGGTCAATGACCTAAGGTCATCATGATGCACTTGAACGGGCAAGAGATGCTGAGCCGGTGCTGATCGACTAAAATGTGCATGTACCGTACATGGGACGGACTCAAACACGGGATTGGCCATTGTCTGGCATGACGCGCAGCGAGTTGCCGTCGTGCATCTTCATACCAGCTCTCACGGCCGGGATGCCTTCGCTGTTGCTTCGGTAAGGAAACTCTCCGCCGCTGACATACTATGTCACATAGTGCCTGTAAGTCGAAGTGGTCTCTCTTTGGCACATCGGTATCAGCTACTAGGAGCTCCCTTCAGCGCGAATTGGACGCCCGGTCTCACTTTCGGATTCTCCATCAACTGCCAAGCCCCTTTCTAACGTCAAACAAAACGTATCGACAACCATGACCACGTTCGGTCAGAAGCTCCTCACGCTGGAGGACCTCAAGATGGCGTTCAACGTATTCTGCTGCGTTTACGGAGTTGGAACGCTCGGTATGCCCGGCAACTTTTCGCGTGCCGGCCCCGTGCTCGCCGTTATCGCCATGCTATTCATGGCGTTTGCAAACGTGTACGCCTCCGTGGCCATCTGTCGCGTCATGCTGCTCGCTCCTAAGTCTGTCAAGACGTACGGTGACCTAGGGGCCTGGGCGGCCGGTAAATGGGGCCACTGGTTTGCCGTGGTGGCTCAGATGGCCTCGTGCCTGCTCGTGCCGTGCGTGCTCCTCGTATTGGGCGGCTCGCTGCTCGACGGTCTGTTCCCGAACGCTTTCAGCGATTCCGTCTGGATCATCTTCATGGCCTTAATGTGCCTACCCGTGTGTCTTATCCCCACTCTGAAGGAAGGGGCGGGCGCTGCTTTCGCTGGTTGTGCCGGCACAGTCATCGCCGATATCATCGGTGTGGCGGCTGTGCTGCACGGCATGCGAGGCCACCCGTCCGTGCCGTCACCCGACCTTAAGTTCTCTCAAGTCGCCGGCGTGTTTGGCAACCTGTCGCTTGCGTATGGTGCCGGCGTCGTTATCCCGGCTTTACAACGTCAGCATAGTGACCCGAAGCGAATGCCTCGCGTGGTATTGTTCACTATCACACTGATCTCGTGTCTGTTCCTGATCCTGGCCAGTACGGCCTATTCGGCTGTGGGTTGTCAGATCTCCGGCAACTTGTTGTTCACGATCTACCCGGACGCCGATACCGGCATGACTTCGCTCGGTTTCAAGTCGGATTGGGGTGCCGTTGTCCTAGCCTACCTATTCATGCAGCTTCACATTACTATTGCTTTCTCCGTTCTACTGAACCCCGTGTTCTACCTGTCCGAGCGTCTAGCGCTTGGCATGCACAAGAAGAAACAGAGCGACATTGAGAGCGGTCTCACTTATGCCGAGATGGGAACTTCCGCCAAGGAATCCGTCGCAAACCCGTCGGTGAACGCCGTGTCGGAGTGTCGTTCCGGCACGTCCTTTATCTGAGTCGCCGACGCCGAGAACCCTCACTTTGGTGATGCCGAGGCCGAGGCTGCCGAGTACCGTGGTGCTAACGTCATCAAGTACGTCTTGCTGCGTGTAGCTATCATCGTCGTGCTGGTTATTCTATCTATTGTGCTGAAGGACCATTTCTCGGACCTGTCGGACTTTGTGGGTGCTTCCTGTATCTCGCTTAACAGTATCATCCTGCCGGTTGTGTTTCTACTCAAGAAATGCTGGAATACTATCCCGATGTACGAGAAGGTCCCGGCTTTGATCGTGGTGGTGGTGTGCACCTTCTTGGGTTGCTACGTGACGTACACGTCGGGCAAGACGCTGTTCGCCCCGACCGACTCAGGCGTGTCATTCTCGTACTGCGACTCGGAGCATGAGAACATTGTGTACTACAACTATACCGCCGTGCACGGGTAATGAGCACTTGGGGGCTTGTTATTTTTCTTAAATGAAAAAAGTTTATTAATTTCCATGAATTGTTTATCGTCACCAAACGCAGCCTTCGGGACGCAGATCTGGGTCCATTAGGAAGGTATTAAGTATTTCCGAGACTTCGATGAATCTCTGGCACCGTCCACCTCCTCGTCGATAGGATAAGTCCTTCGCTGCACGTAGTATTTGGTTCACGAAGCGTTCGAGTTTCCTCTTCCTCATGTGAATCAGCAACCGTCGCCAGCCTGTATACACCGCCCAGCGTCCACGATTCGGAAACCTGGACGGGAAGCCTTCGACTGAGGTGATCCACGTCACGCGACTACAGTAAGCGCACCATTGCATGTGCTTGCGGTCGTGTACAATAGCGGTGACTCGCTTACGAAGCTCTCGAAACGCCGAGTAGCGATGCTCGACCTGGTATTCTGGTTCGGCTTCTTCCTTCTCTTGTTGCAGTCGCGATCTCCGTTCACTCGTCGTCTCTCCAGGAGTAGTGGGAAGTCCGCGTTGGACGTACTGCAGATAGACGTCTAGTACGTACACCGTCGCGCCGTCTCCGTCTTCGCGGTCGTACGTGGCGCACACTTTCACGCGCTGGACCTGGTTCAAGGTGAAGGCGTGCTTGGAGTTGTTCGAGAGCGTGGACAAACGACGGCCCAGGTCGGCCACGTCGACTTGGTCGTCCGGATCAAAGACGGACTTCATCGCGTGCCATTCCTAGGAAGAAATGAACCTCGCAGACAAAAATAATGGTAAGCTTAGGTGAGACTGCTGGCACTTTCCGAACATTTGGCCAGAGGTGGGTGGAGTAGCAGTGCTGTCAGCAGCGCCAAGCAATTTTGTGCTGGGAACACACAGATGTCGCCAAAACAGCAGCCAAGATGCTTACTCCTTGTATTACTCGTCCATGGTCATCAACTTAGTCTCTCTTCAACTTCAGACTGCAAGTGGATGGATCCTCAATTGATCTTTCAGACCGGACGTGCTCTCTCTTGCAAGCCACGAGGTTTGGATCCTCGAAAGCGATCGTCTTTCCATTTTGCGAACGGATGAAGTCGCCGAGCCGTCACCACGCACCGAAAGTTTGGAGTGAAATCTCCAAGTGGCCATGGCGAATGAATAAGTGCATGTCTCCCACGGTAAAGATCATAAGAACGACATTGGCTTCTACACATATCCATGTGAAGTGCTGGTACCTTTAACCTACTACCTGTACAAACATATGAGAGAGTCTATTTGGCATATTAGTGACTATTACATGTAATAGATGTCTGTGTTGTCCTATTAATAAGTCTGGTTAGCAACGCCGGTTCTTACCTGTACATGTATGATACACGCCTGGCCTGTTCAGCAGCTGGTAGGCTATCGTCGTCTTCGCATTCGGTCTTGTGGCTTGCCACTGACCGATTGTCCTTTTTGACAGCGCACCATCTCACGGACATCCTGATTCGAAGGTTGGAAGCGTCTGAGCTGGACGGACTCACTTGAGAACTGGCAAAATGGGAGGCGGGTCGCTGTTTCAAGTCGGCCACGATGTCGAGTTCTGGCGGGTATTAGTACACTTGAGTATCCTGGCCTTCTGTCTGGTCCTCTTCGAGGCTGCTCTCCACCATGTGGAGCACAAACTCTCTCGGTATGACAAGTACCAGCACATGCTTCGCAAGGTATATCGAGAGCTCATGGTCCTTGGTTTATTGAGTCTCGGACTTAAACTACTGAAGGAGGTACCGGGCATTCACGCCGACAGTAAAGCCATGTTAGCGTTCCAGGTAGCCGACCTGACCATCTTCATCCTTTTTTTTTTTTTGGAACATGGCTGTCACTTAACTAGTGGAAGTACCTAACGACACCCTATGACCTTGACGGCGGCTGTCTCAATCCACCCGCCCTTCCCTATGCCTTCCTGGCATAAGGCGACCTGCTCCGCTTACAGTGGAGAGGCCGCGGGCCCCAAGAGGCCCTTATCCGTTTCCCGCTGCAGCCAATGTCCGACGTCATTGGCCGCATGTGTGTATACCACTGCCCACTGCTTGGTGGGACCACCTCCTGGCCCTAGCTTGACTTGGACACTACGCCTATCATCCATAGCCATATTAGTCAAAGCATCAGCCATCCGGTTGTACTCACGATAGTGATGCTGCCATGTAACCACTGTCAGCTGGTCTGCGGCCCGTTGACACTGGAAGTACACGCTCTGTAAATGTGCCGCTCTGGGCGGTTTCCTCGTTCTATGCTGCTGCAAGATCAAATGGCTGTCAGCGATGACATGAAGGGGGAACCACTCCTCCTGAAGGCATGCCCTGAGACCCATCAGTAATCCCATGGATTCAGCAAGATTGTTGGTCATACGATCAGAACCGTACGCCATACTGCTTACCCAGCATATGGTCGTGCCGGTCCCATCAAGCTTCGTTTTGAGCACCACGGAGCCGCTTCCTCCTGGGCCTGGGTTTCCACGCGACCCCCCGTCAAAGAATAGTAAGTACCGCCAGGGCCCAGTCGTGGTCCTGTCCCGCGACAGCTGCTCGGGAGCCCTGAGGACGTGACGCATTATGTTAGCAGCCCGGTCGTACAGTATCGCTGGCGACTTCTGATGGATATGGATATGTACTGTGTTATATCCGTGCATTAGTCTGGATCTCAAGGAGGCGGAGTGGTGCTCCTCGGATACATTGTTGAGGGGATCGAAATGGGCCACCCTCCATCTCCAGACTCTAAGGCCACCCCCACTCTCCAGCAGCTTTCGGCCACTTCCGTAAGCACCGGGGTAAATTCGTCCAGAGCCGCCGTCGGCAGCTCTAAGTGCAGTTGCATCACAGTCTGCCAGATGCCGGCTGGTAGTTTTGGTAGGATGAGGCTGAAAATAGCAGACACGAGCTTAGACGACGATAACCCCTCCCATCGCCATCGCCGAAGCATAACATTCCGAAGTCGCACTGCTGCTGGGCAGGTCCAGAAGACGTGATACAGGTCAATCCCTCGCTCCCTGACGCAAGCTCGATGAGGGCAACCTAAGAATCCTCTGGTCGGGTCGTACAGTGAGCAAGCGTAGGTCTTAACTTTGTAAAGGGGTTGTTCTCCCCATGGGCCGAGCCCCACAATCCGGCGAAGTCGACGCCATTCCAACTGTGCCAGCCCAGAGCCAGCATGGATGCTGGCCGAATCCCAGCAGCGTTGGCGTCGATCTGCGCTGAAGATGCCCTTGGAACTGGATCGTGCGACAATGGTGACCATCTTCATCCTGGCACTGGCGTTGATCCTCCAAGCGATCACTGTCTTCACGCAGCTACGCAAGCACAACACCGTCGCCGATCGGACAGAACTGATCACTGCTCAAGACCTGGTGGATGCCATCAGTCCTCCAGTCGGCACCCCTCCTACCGCAGCACGTACCGCTTCAAAATGGTGCTGGTCACGAAAGACGATCGGTGGGCTCGAGATGGAGATCGTAGAACGACGACTACTACGTCATCTGTTCCTGCGTCGCTTCGGATTGCCACAGCTCTTCCCGTTCTCCAAGTACCTGCGGCGAGCTCAAGCGAACCAGATCTCACATATGATCGAGGTGGAGCCGTCGATGTGGGTGCTTTTACTCTTTGTGGCATGGCTGATTTGCGGGTTTGTCAGTCTCCTCGAACACCTGAACGTAGAGCTACCTGGGAGTGAGGAATTAGTGGAAGTTATCGTGTCATTTGCGTGGACCTTGGTGGCGCTTCACATCGCAGCGTTGCTATACTTCCGCTCGTGTTTGCATCGAGTACTAAAGACAGCGGGGTACAGTGACGATGACGCTGTTTTGCCTGCAAATCTCCGCGCTATTGCACAAGAGGAGGCGGTTGCATGGAGGAACGAAGCAGCAGATAACTCCTTAGATACCATGAACCGGGTGCAGGAAGAACTGGAGGAGGTCGAGGCGCGTCGACACGCCGAACGTCACGCGATTCTCCGGAAAGATGTCGGTCTTCAACTGGCTGTAACATGTTGCCGTAACCTTAAGATGGGTGGAGACGTTAAGCCACGTGAAGCGAGCGGCGTACAACCCGAGTCTCCAGAGATTCACATCCCGTTCTTTTCACGGAAAACCTGGCACGTTATCGTTATTTTTCATCTAGTTCTTAACGGTTTCTTTATCGCACTATTGGTGCAGTGCGCAGTGTACGATCGGGACGTTATTTACGGGGAATTCGGATTACTACCCGCTCTCATGGTCCCACTCCCGTTGGCACTCAACACTTTGGTGTTCCAGCAGCGGATTTCCAGCTACTTCGTTATCGTCTGCAGCATTTTTCGAGTTAACGCCAACACATTGGGAGAAGTCGTGAACCACTTCAGCGAGATCGTGGAGCTACGCTCTGAATTTGCTGCTTCTGTACTTGCGTCTTTAAAGGAGGATGGCTCGACGATCGAATAGTTACGTGCCGAGTTGCATGCTCACGACCTGCAGCAAACGGGCATGATCGACGTTGACAAACTACGTACAGCTCTAGCGTCGTTTGGCTTTCGGCTGACACGGTTCCGCTTCAACTGCGTCGCCATGTTACTGTTTGAGCTGAGCGAAACCCGCGTTGAGTACGGACAGCTCCTTCGATTGGTGCTGCTCGCTCAACACGAACCTTCAAGTGAGAGTGGACCAGTGAGTCTCCGCCATCATCATTCACTGTTGCAACGAAGTACCATGTCGTATGATGAAGGAGCACGGGTGAATATGCGCCTCACCCGGTCGACTGCACAAGTGTCAGGTCAGGTACCTTTGCTCTCTCAACCGAGTATCGGATCCGAACCAAGACCGAGCGACTTCATGCACCTCAATACACCTGGATTGGCTCCCATTCGGCAAGTTTCCGGTGAGCTGGCGTCCGATTTACATGCACAACATACATGTACCACTGTTAATCGCAGACGACAGCACACGATGGAGCACAGCTACACGCACCAATTTGCTGGCTCCACTTCTCGAACTTTGCACGACATGTTTAACCCCTCCGTCACTAAGGCTTGATAAGGAAGCATGTGACATTTTCCACATGCTTGATTATCAAGCATGTGGGGATCGTCATAGAATGGGCGTTTAGTCCGTTTAGTCCCCAATGCACAGGGCTTGGGGTCCTAACTGTAAAGAGAAAGCTCCTTGGAGATACGCTGTCGTAAAGACAGTGCTTCAAACGAGAAGCCTCTGAGCCATCCATTCATTCTCCAAAACGAAACGCGGGACCAAGATGCCTCCCCGCCGCGTCACGCGCGCTGAAGCCAAGGCGTTCCTGCGTCGTCTCGACGGGAAGGAAGGCGCAGAACGCGCCCGGCTGCTTGAAGAGCACCGCGCGTATGTCGACGGTACGCGTGACCGCGGTGCTGACTTTGGTGACGACGTTGCGGGTGAACCGCTTGTTTCAGCTCCTACGTCAGCAACGACAGGAAGGTGGCCTAGGATGACAGTGGCTCACGCAAGCCTCCTGCTCCAGCTACGTACCAGAAGAAGGGCGCACTAGTGGGGTACTCCAATTTGCTGGCAAGAGCGCCGCGATTGAAAGGGAAGGCGCCAGTCGCAACATTGCATGCAGAAGAGCTTGCTACCGATGCTGCTTCTGCTGATGAGGATGGGAGTGACAGCGGAGACGAAGATTACGTGGAAACAGGAGAAGACCAAGGAAATGACGACGTCGAGTTTGACATGGCGACAGCGCCAGAGATCACAACACCGAAGAAGGCGGCGAAGAAGAAAAGACCGGCAAAGGCGCCTGGCAAGGCCAAAGCAAAAGGTAAGCGTAAGCGCGCACCATCGAAGAGATCAAGAGCTGACAAATCTGCGCGTACAACGAGCCCACACGTTGCTGCTGGTGACGAAGCCGTCAGGTGAGGAGAATATGCGTTTTGCGTACGATGTGTATCTCACACTTCATGATTGTAATTGTTTTTAGCGATGCGTCTGTTGGTGGGGATTTGGACTATAGCGAAACGTCGCCATCTCCGCCATGTGCAACAGACACAACGCAGGCAAATTGTGGAGCCATGTCGACATCGGAAGGTGCTTCCTCTGCGCAACAGACTCACCGCTAACGCCACCTCGGTCTTCGGCTGCTAGGTACGCTGTCACATGATGGATATCAAGCATGTGCGAGATTTATTTTGACAACTTGCTGTATATTATTGTTGGTTTTGCAAGGTCACTGGATATGGCTAGTGTTATTCCCACAACCCCGCCTCCTCTCTATTCCCGTCAAGATTCCCGTCACGATGATGACATCTATGATGGTGGTGCATTGGATTCGTATTACGATGATTCAGACACTGGGTCAGCAGAATGGTACGAGGACATGGACAATCTTGAAGATGTTGTGGATGCTGAGATTCCAAGCGAGAGCGACACGGAGACGAGTGATGAGCTGTCACTAGATGCGCCTCCAACTGGCGATTCACCGAGTTCTACACCTGCAGTTGGCGCAGCTTCTACAACAAACCGTCGCGGGGGACAGCGACCTCCACGAAGTAAGGAGGAGGCCGAACGCTGGAAGGGCATCATTGACAATTGGCGCGTGCCTTTGCCAGGCCAAGATGGTGCTACTCCACTTCAAACCGGATTTTTTAAAAAAAAATGAAAACAAAAATTTGATTACGAAAACGTAGCACTAATAAGGAAATTCAAAGTGGCGAAAACGCAGAGCAAAGTGGTCCCCTCAGGCTGAGCTGCAGCTAGGTGCCGTACTGCATGTCTTCCATGCGCTCCGCGGCAGCAACGGAATGCTGGCAATGCAGTGTCAACCTGTTAGCAAGGTGCGTGTCGATACATCCGATGCGGCGTCTCGCCGCGCGTTCCAGTTTCTCCATCCGAGCAGCCGCAACCGTCCCGCGAGGATGCTCCACAACCAGCCCTTTACGGGGCAAGGCAAGGTCGGCCTTGATCGTGGCCTTAAAAGCACTAAAACACCCTGTAGCACCAGTTCAAAAGTCGGTTAGTATGCCATTTAAAAAATATTGTAATACAGTATACTGCGTACCTTGAATGGGGTTACATATTGAAGAGTACGGAGCCAGCCGTACAAGTACCAAGTCGGCTCGTTCAGCGACGTGTGCTTCCGTTTGCTTCCACAAATCGACGTGATGTGGTGGCGGGGATTCCGTTGTGGGCGGCCACATGCGTCCAGTCACCGCCGACACGGAGGCAGTCGAGAACACGAGCTCTGGCAAATGCGAGGTGCGGGGCTCTGGACATCTTGGGGTAGATAGAGTCTTGGCTTGGTTGAGGGCTTGGAAAAAGATTGATAAGAGAGAGCGAGGAATGGCAATGAAGTGCTCGCGCACACGCTCAGGAGGGTTGATCCGCTTTGAACTGCGAATAAACCACTTTAAAGTACGGAGTGCGTTTACTCGACATATTTGTGAAGTGACATAAACTCTAATGTTAAAATTGAGAATAATTTTTAAAAAGGTTTAGTTACTTCACCACTTTGAAGTGGAGTAGCACCATCTTGACCTGGCAAAGGTGTAGAAGGGTCTGATTTGTCTAATATAATAGATACAAAGCTCGCTACAACTTCTTGAGAGGAACATCTATTCTGTGGGGACCATTCAAACTAACCGGTTTCATCGCTCAGTTGCAAGCCCAGCTACTACAAGTGGGGTCAGCCAAATTTGCAAACACGGTAAGTAAGGTGCTTATTCTGCTTGCTTTTCTCCTTGCTAACTATTACTGTATGTGTCCAAAGATGTACTCACCTAGACCAGTTACACCACTGCATGGCGACGCTCCACCGTCCACCCACCAGCTAAAGATGGACGACGAATGGGTGGAGGTGAATTGAATTTGAAAGCGACGTCAACAGCAGTGCAAGGTCTGTACTATACGGAAAACAAGCAGTACACAGCGGCAGGTGACGCGATTCTACTGTCCTGGCTGCAGTAAAGGCTCAAAACGATACGTTGCTATGCTCTATGTTTCTTACTACTGCTATCTAACACGTATAATGCAGTGTCTACTTGTGTGACAAGGTGCGCCAAGCACATTACCCCAATAACAACCATACTTGCTTCTCCATTTGGCACCAACTTTGGCGCAATGGAAGCGAGCGCCCACAGCCGCGCCACGGCCGCGGTATCCAGCTGAGCCCCCCCCCCAACAAAGCGGGCGGAAGGACAAGAGGGTCGTGAAGAGGAGGGGGGCGGTGGGGACGAGGAGGAGGCCGCAAGCCTCGGCAATGAGGGAAGTGATGGTGGTGAAAATTCTGATAGTGATCAGAAGGAGACAACGGAAACTGGGGGTGACGACGCGGTAGAGAGAGAGCACCAAGAGTAAGAAACAGTGAAACTGCGTAGGTAATAGCCCAAATGACTTGCTTTTAGCAAACAGATGTAATACACAAATTTGCTTTCGTAGCCGTTCTGCACGTGACTCCGTCAAAAACGATTCATTCCCAATAAAAGAGCCATTTGCACATGCATGATGTCGCGTATGGGCTTTACGGATTTTACTCACCCTGCTCGATATAAAGCATGTGGGTTCATAATACGTACGATTGCAGGATCTTGTACAAATATACAGACACCGATCTTTTTTTTCTATACAAATTTACGCTAAGACTTTTTTTAACATGCTTGATATAAAGCATGTGAAAAATAGTCTGTGCATTCAAGATTTGCTCGGGGTTAATATCACCAGAGCATCCGAGTCACACATGCCCCCTGACACGGTATACACTGTGCTTTAACACGTAATTGTAAAGAAAGTATTTTTTTTATTTGCTGGTATTAAAAGCGGCGCTGCATAACCCCTATTTGGTACAAACCTTTAGAAGAGGAAGAGACCACTCCCGCTTCGCTAAAAACGGCCTTTTAATTGGGCCCAGCGTCGAAACAGTGCGTGTAATAACCTTACACTTGCGTCGGGTTACGGCTGCGCTGGTCATCTCCTTCAAATCTCCCGAGTTGATATTTCGGGCTGTCCGAGTCGCTACATGTTGGCAAATCGTAAGATTTTAAAATGTCGTCTTTTCCAATGGCGAATGCATGAAGTCGCTTTGCCGTCATATAAAACCTCCGAATATCTCCGCAAAGCTAGTATTTCGGAGAAACGGATATCCCTTGCGTCTGGGGTGAACGGAGTTACTTTGCTCTCATCTATTGGGCCTCTACTCGGAGATAAATTTTCTACAGATGATAGACGTATCTCAAAACTTGTTAAGCGGTTGCGTGCCTCTTACCAGCCTGAAGTGGGGTGGCTGGGTCAGCTGTCGGCACCACACGCGGTGGTGAAAGACTGTCGTCACAAGGAGCCCTCACAATTGTGGCTTCAGCATGGACAAGCATACGTTTTTGGCATTTCCACCATCCCGTCGGATGGAACCGACGCTTCAGTAAAAATCTCGACGCGAAAGCACGAGCTGGACGGTCTCACTTTACAACCTGCGCCATGGGAGGCGGATCGCTGTTTCAAGTCGGCGAGGCTGTCGAGTTCTGGCGGGTATTGGTACACTTGAGTATCCTGGCCTTCTGTCTGGTCCTCTTCGAGGCTGCTCTCCACCATGTGGAGCACAAACTCTCTCGATATGACAAGTATCAGCACATGCTTCGCAAGGCATATCGAGAGCTCATGGTCCTTGGTTTATTGAGTCTCGGACTTAAACTACTGAAGGAGGTACCGGGCATTCACGCCGACAGTAAAACCATGTTAGCGTTCCAGGTAGCCGACCTGACCATCTTCATCCTGGCACTGGCGTTAATTCTCCAAGCCATTGTCGTCTTCTCGCAGCTACGCAAGCACAACAAGGTGGCGGATCGGACAGAATTAATCACTGCTCAAGATCTGGTGGATGCAATCAGCCCCCCAGCTGGCACCCCTCCCACCGCAGCTCAGACCCAGATTAACTCTTCAAAATGGTTCTCGAAAAACACAACCGGGTTCGAGAAGGAGATCGTAGAACGACGACTACTACGTCATCTGTTCCTGCGTCGCTTCGGATTGCCACAGCTCTTCCCGTTCTCCAAGTACTTGCGTCGAGCTCAAGCAAACCAGATCTCACATATGATCGAAGTGGAACCGTCGATGTGGGTGCTGTTACTCGCTGTGGCGTGGGGGATCTGTGGGGCTCTAGGTAGTCTGGAAGAACTGGACTTTGAGCTTCCTGAAGGCCACGAACTCGTCGAGGTTTTCGTCATGTTTGCCTGGGGATTAGTAGTCGTTCACATCGCCGTACTACTCTACTTCCGCTCCTGTGTACGTCAACTTCTGACAGCTGCAGGCTACAGTGAGAACGAGCCCACATTGGTGGAAAATCTTCGAGCCATCGCTGAAGAGGAGACCACCGCGTGGCGAAATGAAGCAGCTGACAACGCTCTCGACACGATGAACAGAGTGCAAGAAGAACTCGAGGAGATCGAAGATCGTCGCATGGCCGACAGACACGTACTTCTTCGAAAAGACGTGGGACTGCAACTGATGGCAACCTGCTGTCGCAATATCAACAAACTGGCTGATCCTAAGCTTCACACCGGTCGAGCACCGAGTGGCGTGCAGCCTGGAACGCCAGATATCCACATCCGGTTCTTCTCCCGCAAGGCGTGGCATGTTGGAGTCATGTTTTTACTGATCCTAAACGGCTTCTTCATCGCTCTACTGGTTCAGTGCGCCGTGTACGATCTGGACGATATCTACGACGAATTCGGGCTGGCACCGGCGCTTATGGTCCCGCTCCCGCTTATTCTAAACACGTTTGTGTTTCAGCAACGGATGTTCCGCTATTTCGTCATAGTCTGCAGTATTCTCCGCGTGGACGCCAACACATTGGGTGAAGTGGTGAACCATTTCAGTGAAATTGTAGAACTGCGATCCGAATTCGCGACTTCGTTGCTTGATTGTCTGAAGGAAGGAGACTATACACTCATCGATCTACGTCGAGAACTCCACGCGTACGATCCGCGTCAAACCGGGTTGGTCGATGTTGATAAACTTCGAGAGGTTTTGTCAGCATTTGGCTTTCGTTTGACGAGATTCCGCTTCAACAGCGTTGCGATGATGCTGTTCGAGCTCAATGGAACGAAAGTAGAGTACGGGCAGCTGCTTCGACTATTGTTGCTGGCTCAACAGGAGACCCCGAGTGAGAATCTACAGGGAAGTCAACGTCGCCAACACCCGCTCTTGCAACGAAGTCAGACGTCGTTCGAAGACGCAGGACAGTCAAACTTGCGTGTGAATCAGTCGAACGCTCTAGGTACGGGACGACAGGTGCCTTTGCTCCCACAGCCGAGTCTTGGATCGGAGCCTCGACCCAGTGATTTCGTGAACGTCAGTGGCCCTGGCTTATTAATAAGGAGGCTATCTGTTACCAGTCTGGAGACTCAGAAAACGGACAACAACCGGACACGACCCCCGATGCTGGAGCGTAGTTACACCCACCAATTCGCTGGCTCGAGCTCTCGAGCGCTACATGATATGTACAACATCCGCAGCGAACCTGACTCTCACATGGACAATGTACCGTCCGACACGGTGTACACAGTTCTGTAGACTTGGCTAGCCTAAAAAAATGAAGACTATAAAGCCAAACGCATGAGGTTTTCATTCGAAGTACTGAGACACATTCCTCGAAAAAGGCAATTTTGCTTTTTTAAAAAGAAAGAGCTACAAATTGTGAAGTTCTTGCTTTTTTTATTTTTTGAAAGTAGATTGTATCCATACTACAGTACGTAAGATGTTGTGGGTATCCCTTTGTTTAGGCTCTTGCGAAATAAGATGCTGCTCAAACCACAATAATTTTGAACTTTAAAGACGCGGGACCCACGTTTGTGACTACAGCTCTAGAGTCACCTAGCAAGGCTAAACAAAGAACTGGAGATGACAGATTCCTAGTGGTCGATCAGTTTTTCTTTCTTGAGACCTTGACAGCACATGCTTCTATTAATAGTTTAGCAGAATTGTTGAGCTGTCGACGGCATCTATCAAGCTCTTAACTCGAGAACCGGTACTGAATTTGAGCAGCATCAGCTTCAACGTAGCTCACAGTCATTCGAGCTGTAGACTTCGACACCTTCGCTTCAACTCAACAGCTACTCAGTCCAGTAATCTTGAATATGATGTGACTCGACTACGAAAGTCAGCACTTCAACGATACGTCGAGCAATGACCTCTGATCGACTCATTCGTAAGAGTGGAAATCAGGAATATCGGCTGATACTGCAACGTAGCTTACACTCTCTCGTACTGCTTCATGACATTTACAATTCGACAACTGTCTCAGGTGGATCTGACCCCCACCGACACAACAATAGTACAGGTCGGTACAGCACAAAACGCTACGTCAACAACTCTATGCTGTTTATCGTCAACCGGTCAGCAGGCTAGCAGTTCTAGCGTATGAAAGCCTTTCTTTCGGTTGAGTTCGCGTCGTGATCTAGGAATACCGAGCTGTCGATGGTTGCAGACGGAAGAAATCTGGACGTCGTTATGTTGTGCAGAAGAAGGTAACAGACTTGAAACGGGTTCTTATGAGCGCCCGAGCGACATTATATCGCAAGGGGCAGAAGGTATCCATGCTCGAGCTAATGCAACGCTGGGAAGGCTCATTTCTGAACGAGTTCAATGGCGGGTGAATCTCTCTTCCAAGTGAGTGATAATGTGGAGTTTTGGAGAGTATTGACCCACTTGAGTGTCTTGGCAGCAGTTCTTCTATTCTTCGAATACGTCCTGCACTATGTAGAGCGTCACCTAGCGCGCTACGACAAGTACTACCACATGCTTCAGAAGGTGTACAGGGAGTTTATGATCCTCGGGCTGATAAGTCTCGTGCTGAAGATCCTCAAGGAAGTTGCGCCAATCGACAGCTCCAGCAGCCCGATGATCGCTTTCCAGGTCGCTGATCGCATCATCTTCGGCTTCGCGATCGCTCTCGTGTTACAGTCGTTGTGTATCTTCCTCCAAGTTCGAAAATTCAGCAAACATGCCTTCCAAACAGAGTTGATCACCACGAGAGATTTGCTGGTGGACCTCAACAAACAGCAACAAAACTATGCGGGATCTTGGTCGTTAAAAACTACATCTTTCTCGATCTATGGGGAGAAACCTGTAAGTCGTACGCTGGCAAACAAGGACATCGTGAGGTATCGAGTACTCCGCCACTTTTTCCTTCGTCGGTTTGGCCTACCGCAACTTTTCCCGTTCTCCAGGTACATAAGACGCGCGCAAGCAAATCACATCTCGCACATGATCGAAGTGGAGCCGTTGATGTGGCTGCTGGTTCTTGGTGTTGCGTGGGGGATCTACGGAGTATCTACAATTTTTGAAGAGGTTTCACTCGTCAAACTTCTCGTGATTTTTTCGTGGGCTCTTGTTTTGCTTCATCTTCTGGTGCTATTATATCTTCGCTCATGTGTGAAACAACTCCTAAGAATTGCCGGCTACAGCGAAGACAAACATGTTCTATATGTCAATCTCGCTCTCGTCGCCGAAGAAGAAATTGGAGCTTGGGAGAGCGAGACGGCTGAGAGTGCATTGGATACTATGAACCGAGTCCACGAACTACAGGGGGAGATCGAACACGAACGGAAACCAGCACGACACGCTTTATGCGGCAAACACTGTGGTACCAACAATTCGGAGGGAAATGTGAAAGCTCCACATCGGGAATTACCGAAATTAAACATTCGCTTCTTCTCATCGAAATTCCGGCATGTTGTCGTCATGCTGCTGTTGACGCTGAACGGATTCTTCACTGCGTTGTTTGTACAGTGTGCATTGTACAATTTGGACGAAATCTACCAGCAACTCGGACTGCTTCCTGCTTGCGCCGTTCCACTCCCGATGGTACTGACTGAACACGCTGGTGTTGCAGCATTTTATTTTCCGAGATTTCACGTTAGTCTGCAGCTTTCTTCACCTTGACGCTCACACGCTAGGTGACGTAACCAACCACTTTATCGAAACTGTGGAGCTCCAGTCCCAATTTGCTGTTTCGGTGCTCCAGTGTTTGAAAGACGGAGGGCTCACAATCGCATATCTGGAGACAGTCGTTCGGTCTCATGATCTCGAAAATTCGGGGTTGATTGAGATTGACAGTCGTCGTGCGATCTTGGCCTCAGTCGGGTTCAGCTTGACGCGGTTTCGGTTCAGTAGTGTGGTCAACTTGTTGTTCGATCTCAACGTCCAGCTCTTTCAACTTCTGGTACTCGTCCAGCAAGATCATGAGGGGAACGACCAACGCTCTGGGTTACATGAATTTCAGCGCAGATCCGCGTCATTCGATGACAAAGCGGCCAACAACTCAATTTCCGCGGTTGATTTGAGTCTCAGTACCATTCAGCGCTTTTGTTTCTTAAATCAGTCCTCTGTTGCATCGGATCTCGCAAGCAGCGACTTTGCTTTTCTGAGAACCGTGTCGCCAACTTTGCGTCGGGTCTCGACATCGGGCCAACTACCGGTGTCGAAAGATGAAACCCAAAGTCGTAGACCTATGTTGCAGCGAAGCTACACAAGTCAAATCTCTGGCTCCAGCTCGCGAGCGCTGCATTTCATGTATAACATTCGTCAACTAGCTCAGTTTCAAGAAGAGTCGGCCGCGAAAGACGCGTCGATGGTGTAGGTATTGTACTGGTAATAACCAAACGTATTTTCTGTTGCGTATCTGTCGTTGGTGCAAGTCCATGAAACTCCTAATATCACAAAACTCAGTGAGGCAACAAGCGTGTGACGACGAATGAGATCTCTACGTAGCGTCGAATGTGATTTACGACTGCAACAACAATGTGAAATAAACTCATTTTTGACGTGAAAGTTATCAATATCGGACAATCGCTTAAAGCTCCTTCGTTGTGCTGCTTGGTTCCGTCGAAGTCTGGTCAAATATCCCAAGGAAGTCGTAAACTACAGCCGCCACTGCATTTCGTGCCACACAAGCCACCTCATCCTTGTGTTTCCCTTGTTGCCTAAGAGGCGAAAGCTGCGGTACAAGTTGCACCCCAGCGGTATCCTTTGCAACCGCAGCCACCGCCATACTCGTCCCTGTCGCGAACGCCACCAACCGGGCGAGATGCATGGCTAGCGAGGGTTTGCGAAGAACAGTCTCACCCGTATTGATGACAGTCACCAGCGGACCTCTTGCCCAATGGTTGCTCAGGTACGTTCGGAGACTTAAGCAGAACGCGCACTTGTCGTCACATCCTCTGGCCGACTCATCGACGCAAAACGCCAGCAATTTGCTTAGCTGGTTCACGTTGCGGAACGTTATCGTGATCTCGTGTGCCACTGACGAGCTGCTCATGTGGCGCGTCCGGCTTAAGAGACACCTTCATCGTGATGACAAGGTGGTTTTTCTTGCCCCTCGTGGAGCCCAGCACGGAAACGTCGACAATTCGTTGCAATTGCAAACGACGTTGGAGCATTTCATCGAGTGGCAATGCTGACTGGAGCGAAGCTGCAAAAGGTGCCGATTCCAATTTCCGTGGTAAAGCTTTTTCGGACGGTCGACCGAGCAACTTGATCATGAGACTTCGCGAGATTGTTTGATGGAACGTGTTGGTCATGACTCAAAATGGAGAATGAGCGACTTGTCCGACATGGTGAATTAAACTTTGGTCCTCTCAAAGCTCTCAAAGACTGATGTGATGAGCAAGGTAATGCCTGGTCGGTGGCCCGAATGTACAGCTGCCGATGATTGCTACCAATGCCATTTGATGTTGAGGCTGTCGCCACACACATATTCGAAACACGTGATATGATGAACTTTGGAGTGGCAGCAGGGATGAGCATGGAGGTCTCCTGCAATCGTCAAACCTATTATTAATAAAAATAGGCTCAGTTTCGTAATAGTGCTGAAATATAAATATTATTTGACTCCTACAATTAATTGTGTAATAAACTGCGTATTAGCTTGCTAATTTCTTGACATTGAGCACTGGCAAAGACCATCTAAGGCCGTTGTTAAAGCTGTCTGGAAACTTTGTTGATGGTGATCATCAGTTGACGTGCGGTAAACGTAAACCATAATGACACTTGTGCTGACCGAAAGAATTGTTAATTTTATTTAAGGCTCCTGTATTGAAAGATCGCTCATATCCACTGCGTATTACGTAAGACCCGAGAACATCGAAATGGTCATAAACGTTGGGGGTGGAAAGAAGGACTCTGCACTTTCGCTTTTACATCCTAGCTAAAGATGGCCGGCGGATCTGTTTTTCACGTCGGTGAAGACGTCGCATTGTACCAAGTCGTGGTGGTTTTGAACGCGTTGGCGATCTGTTTGCTGATTTTTGAGGCTGCACTGCATCACTTAGAGCACCACGTCCTGGCCCATAACGACAAATACCAGCACATGGTGAAGAAGGTGTACCGTGAATTGATGATCCTAGGACTTCTCAGCTTCATCATTAAGATTCTGACCGAAGTGGGAGGAATCGACGGCTACAGCGGCACCATGCTAGCATTCCAAGTGGCTGACCTCACCATCTTCATCCTACAATCACGCTCGTCCTCCAAGCCGTCAATGTGCTGCTACTTCTGCGTGGCTACAACAAGCGATCGGATCGAGCTGAGCTCATCACGACCCAAGACTTGGTCGATGCCATGAATTCCTCAAAAGAAGGAGGCAGAAAAGCGCATGCCAATTTGTTCAAGAAGGACGTCGTAGAGCATCGCTTACTACGGCATCTCTTTCTTCGTCGATTTGGTCTTCCGCAGCTTTTCACGTTCTCGAAGTATCTTCGACGCGCCCAAGCAACCAACATCGTGCACATGATAAAAGTTGAACCGTCGATGTGGTTTCTACTGCTTGGGATAGCATAGGCGTTCTCTGCTGTCGAGCAAATCCTCGGAGACTTTGAGGTGGAAATGCGCTACGAGCTCATAGAAACGCTGATGGCATTCGCATGGGCTTTGGTGGTCTTTCACATCTTTGTGATGCTGTACTTCCGCTTCTGTTTGCGTCGACTGTTATCAGTTGCCGGATCCAGCAAAGACAAGTCCGTTCTTGCCGTAAACCTCAGCAAAATTGCCAATGAAGAGGCTAACGCCTGGCAAAATGAAGCTGCAGAGAGTGCGTTAGATGCGATGATTCGAACCCACGAGCAGCATGAAGAGATGGAACACGAACGGAGGGCACGTCGCCGAGGAATACTTAAGGACGACGTAGGATTTCAACTCGTTGCTACTTGCTTTCGACACGTCTCGCGTGCTCTTAGCAGCAAGAAACATCCAGAGCCTCGACAAACGGGAGTGATGCCGGGGTCCCCAGACATCCACCTGCCATTGTTTTCGAGGAAAGCATGGCATGTCGCTGTCATGTTCATGATGATTCTGAACGGGTTCTTTGTTGCGCTACTAGTCATGGGCGCAGTTTACTGCTTTGACGAGATCTACCACCAAGTTGGTATTTTTCCTGTCATTTTGATTCCGGTCCCGTTGGTCCTCAACAGTCCGATCTTCCTTAAGTCCATATTCCGCGACTTCGTCTTGATCTGTAGCATCCTTCACATTGATGCCAGCACACTCGGAGAAGTTGTCGGACACTTCAGTGAAACGGTAGAGCTACGATCGGAGTTTGCGTCTTCTCTGCTGCAGTGTTTGAAGAGAAGTGGACACTCGATCGCAGACTTGGACAAAGCACTGCAGTCGCACGACTTGCATAGCTCTGGTTTCATTGATGTTGACAAGCTGCGCACGGTATTGGCGTCATTCGGGTTCCACTTAGCTCGATTCCGACTTAACAGCGTCGTGAAGCTGCTGTTTGAGCTCCAAGGAACTAGCGTCGAGTATGCGCAATTGGTTCAGCTAGTGACTCTGATTCAGCAGGAGTATTGCGCCGAGGAAAGTTTCCAAGATCTGCGTCCTAGTCATCAGCGAGCTATGACCGTATTCGACGAGACGGATCGACGCCGTCAGTTGCCCCTTCTTGCCCAGACAAGTCTTCCACAAGAACCCGGTCCAAGTGATTTTGTCTTTACGAGCGCAACCACGCCACCACTTGGACGACTGCGGCATCAGTCTGGAGGTCCGATTCGGTCAGATGAAAATTTCGCTCGGCAATCGATTCGTCGACGCAGCGTATCAAGGCAGTTCGCTCCATCAAGTTCACGAGTACTCCATGGCGTGTACAATCTGCAACTCTCTCTGACATCCCCCCACTCGCCGGACATCACCTCATCGGTGCAGCAGTAACCTGAAATGTTAATTTTTGAGAAGCAACAGTCTACCACATGGATAAAAGTGAGTTTCCGATTGAAAATGTTTGAATGTTTTGAGCTGAAGCAATAAAATGTTTTTTAGCTGTTCAATACAACATCGGGAAAACTTGCTTCTTTATTTTCGTTCAGTAACACTTCAAGTAGTTTACCGTATTTGAGATCTCCTACTTCAGACCCAATATTTTTGAAGTTGTATTGTTGCAAAATACACAAGATCTGTACACGTACCGACGCATCTCTATCACGTTTTATTTAAACAAAACAATTTAGTTATCAAGTAACTACGAAGTTTTCTATGTCGTGACGCGTATCCACAGCATGGCGCACTACGGGCACTTCTTCCAGCAGCCGTCGTAGCAGCTCCCAATCAGGTTCACTGTCGGAAAGCTCCGTTCCAGCCTCTAAGTTTTCAGTAGGCTCAATGGATTCCATTTTTGCTTTCTCAAATCCGCTTCTAACCGTTTTGCGAGACAACGCATTCCACGAATTCTTCGTCCAACCTATTAATTGCTGCCGTGTAGGTGCTTTTATCTTAAACGGAAGCGTCTAAGTTGAAGCGCGTAGTTGTTTCAACATGTTCTCCACCCAATTTTTCCGCATTTTGTCTTTTAATGGCTTGTTCCACGAAATATCAGCCGGCTGGCACGCAAACGTGTTGGTACAGTTTAGCATGTTTTTTGTACAGTACTCTAAATAAGGAGATCTAGACTTGTGCGCTGTTCCATTCTCGATATGTGATTGGTTGGAGGGCAGTCTGAATTAGGAGATCACTCTGAAGTAGGAGATCTCAAATACGGTATATCCCGAAGTACCGGTAGATTAGAAACCGGTTATTATTCTTAAAAATCAACGCTCGTGTATTACGCATGATTGGAGACCACAACATAAGTAATAAACTCGAGCACATGTTATGCAGACTGGACTCCCTGCTTTCATTTTCGCTTTTGCTCTTGCAGCCTTGATATCAAGATGGCAGGCGGGTCGGTTTTCCAAGTAGGCGAGGACGTCGAGCTGTACCAAGTCGTAATCGTCTTGAGCGCGTTGGCGATCTTCTTGGTGATATTCGAGGCCGCACTGCATCACTTGGAGCACCACCTACTGGCGCACAATAACAAGTACCAGCACATGCTCCAGAAAGTGTATCGCGAGTTGATGATCCTTGGTCTAATCAGCTTCGTCATCAAGATACTGACCAAGGTGGGCGGTATCGACGGTTACAGCAGCATCATGTTGGCGCTCCAGGTGTCGGACCTCATCATCTTTATCCTGGCAATAACGCTCGTCCTTCAAGCCATCAACGTGTTGCTGCTTCTGCGAGGCTATAACAAGCGAGCAGATCGAGCTGAGCTCATTACGACGCAAGACTTAGTCGATGCCTTGGACAAACCCTCTACAAACAGTTTGTTTAAGAAGGAAGTCGTGACGCATCGCTTACTACGGCATCTCTTCCTTCGTCGCTTCGGTCTTCCTCAACTCTTCCCTTTCTCCAAATATCTGCGACGTGCACAGGCGAACAACATTGTGCACATGATTGAAGTCGAGCCGTCCATGTGGTTGCTGCTGCTTGGGATGGCGTGGGCGTTCGCCGCAGTCGTCCAGATCCTCGAAGACTATGACGTGGACGTGCGCTACGAGCTTATTGAAACGCTGTTGGCGTTCGCGTGGGTCTTAGTGTTCTTCCACATCTTAGTGATGTTTTACTTCCGTTTCTGTGGGCATCGGTTGTTATCCATTGCCGGATTCAGCAAAGACAACGGCGTTCTAACCGAAAGCCTCCGGACTGTCGCCGATGATGAGGCCAATGCCTGGCACGACGAAGCTGCAGAGCGTGCGCTAGACATGATGAACCGAATCCACGCTCAACACGAAGAGATCGAGCATGAACGAAAGGCACATCGCCGAGGTCTTCTCAAGGGCGACGCGGGATTTCAACTCTACTTTCTTCCGGAACGTCTTCCGTGTCATGTGTTGTAGGAAGCGCTCAGCACCTCGACAAACTGGCGTGGTGCCTGGAACGCCGGAGATCCGCCTACCGTTTTATTCAAGGAAAGCGTGGCATGTCGTGGTCATGTTCCTGACCATCCTGAACGGGTTCTTCGTAGCGCTACTAGTCATGGGTGCTGTACTCATCTCGAGCATCCTTCGCATTGACGCCAGTACACTGGGAGAAGTTGTGGGCCACTTCAGTGAGATCGTGGAGCTACGATCCGAGTTCGCCACTTCGCTGCTTCAGGGTTTGAAGGTGAGTGGGTGCTCGATCGCTGACTTGGATAAAGCATTACAGTCAAACGATCTACACAGGACAGGTTATATTGACGTCGATAAACTACGCACAGTATTGGCCTCCTTCGGGTTCCAATTGACGCGATTCCGACTGAACAGTGTGGTGAAGCTGCTGTTCGAGCTTCGAGGAACTGGTGTCGAGTATGCGCAATTGGTTCAGTTAGTGACTCTGCTGCAGCAAGAGTATTGCATTGAAGACGGTTGCTTTCCTAGTTTTCAGCGGACTATGACTTCGTTCGACGATATGGACAGACAAGAAGGAGACGCGCGCTCGAACCGCCGTCATTTACCGCTTCTTGCCCGGTCCAGTCTGGCGCCAGAGCCAGGTCCGAGTGACTACGTGAGTGCAAGTACCCCGACTGCAAGGTCTACCGGGAGTCCCGACATTCGCAGAGAACCGTATCGGACGACAACCGAGCCTTCAACGAGGCTTGTCAAGGCAGTTTAGCGGATCAAGTTCACGAATGCTCCACGGCGTGTACAACCTGCAATCATCTGCAGACTCGATGGCGCGGTGAGGGCATGTAAATAGAAAAAAAAACATGATGCATTTTGTGAGCTTTTTACTTCGAAGTATAATATTTGGCGGGGAAATCTACCGATCTGGCCCGAATTCTCGTCCAGATCTTTCCACAAAACCCAAAAAGGAGACGAGGCAATGGCGCGTTTGAGATGGATCTCCACGCGTCACTGACGCGGCGTCAGTGGCATGTCGAAGATAGTACCGCTTTTGAGCGGCTTTGATTCGCTGGTGGTTGTAGGACGTCTTCTACCAGTCATTTTCCTTCAAATAGAGCGTTTCGTAGCAAAATCTGCGACGTGTGAGCTGCAAAATCTTTGATGCTGGCTGCTTCTCAGGCTGAGCCGTCGTCCAGTGTGCGGTCGCCAGCGTTAGTCGATCCACTTCGTGCTTCTCGCCCTCACTTTGGATTTTGCACGAGTCTCGTCGAAAGATCTTCTTCGAATCTTGGCCATGCCGGGGCTGACTTCGGCCGCGTCGGTTAGCGCCCTGGAGCTGGGGTCGAAGGGGAGCTGGGAGAACATGAAGATGGCTGGTGGCCTCAAGGACCGAGCCAGCACCGTGCACGACCTCAAATACTACGGTGCGTGTGAGTCTGAGTCCTTAACTCCTTGCCCCCCCCCCCCTCTCTCTAATAACCTCAAACCTCTGCAGTCGAGGAGCAAAAGCGTCTGTACCAGGAGCTTCCCTTCCGCGTTCTTCCCGGAATGCGTCGTCGCTCTTTCCGTAGCGAACGGGAGTTCCCGCAGCTTCGTCCACGCAGCTCATGGGCGAATCTATCTCGCCTCATCCAGAAGGTAAAGATCTTTTTATTTTTTTAAAATAGCATTCAATAACAAAAACTAATATTTCCTGAACCAGCATGGAGAGCAGAAGCCGTTGCTCGAGGAGGAGGAAGAGGAGCCTGGCTACACGTATTCGTTGCTGGTTTCATGCATGGTAGCGGTCATCAACGCCTTCCAGTATGGCTACAACACGGCTGTGACGGGCGCCATGAACGCTGCGGTGGTGTTCCCCGGCCACTCGGACATGATGTGGGCTCTGTGTGTCTCGAGCTTCGCTGTGGGTGGACCCATCGGGTCCTTCGCGGGAGGTCAAATGAGCGGCCAACTCGGTCGTAGGAAGACGATGCTCGCCAATTCCTGTCTCTTTCTTGTATCTGGCGCTGTCATGGCCTTCTCATTCAACATGTACATGCTCGTACTCGGTCGGTTTCTCGTCGGTATCGCGTCGGGAACCGCCACGGTCGTCGTCCCGCTGTATCTCGGAGAACTGGCGCCGCCCAATCTCCGTGGAGCGTTGGGCACAACGTACCAATTGGCAATGGTCATCGGCATTCTGGCAACTGACATCCTGGCGTTCGGCTTTGCTGGAGAGAGCCAAAGCCTCGCCCAGCCAGGCTGGCGTCTCATGTTCGGGTTCGCTGGCATCCTCGGCGCTCTTCAGATCGCTCTAACGCCGCTACTAAGTGAAAGTCCACGCTGGCTGCTGAATCATGGCGAGGAGAAAGAAGCGGAGCACACGCTGCGTCGTCTCCGCCAAACCGACGACGTGTTTGACGAGCTGGACAACATTTCTGCTGCCAGTTTCAGCGAATCTGGCGACGTCCAGGGCGTTGGCGACGTTTTACGCGACAAGAAGATCCGCGTCCCTCTCCTGGTTGCTGTGGTGTTGCAGTGCGCCCAGCAGTTGAGTGGCATCAACGCTGTCATGTTCTACGCCAGCTCGTTCTTCAAGAACGCGGGGCTGGAGAACCCTCTGGTCGGTATCACGCTGGTTTACATTGTGAACGTGCTGGCTACAGTCGTTGCACTGATGCTGATGGACTCGGCTGGACGTCGTCCGCTCCTGCTCTGGTCCATTGTGGGAATGCTCGTGTCGAGTGGGATTTTGACGGTGGGATTGATGGATTTGCTGCCGTTCGGGAGCCTCTTCAGTGTGGGCGGCGTCATGAGCTTCGTGTGGTTCTTTGAGATCGGACTGGGGCCCATCCCGTGGCTCATTGCAGCTGAGATGTTCCCTGCAAAGTCGCGGACGACGGCGACTGCGATCGCCACGATGGTCAACTGGTTTGGACTGTTCCTCATCGGTATCTTCTTCCCTACGATGCAGGCAGCTCTGGACGACTTTATCTTCGTGCCGTTTGCAGTTCTGCTGGTCTTGGCACTGGTATTCTCACTCAAATATGTGCCCGAGACGAGAGGCAAGACGGTGGAAGAGATCCAACACGAACTCAACGCGAAGTAGCGTAGAGAAACTCAAAAACTCTTTTTTATACATTCTCAATCTCAAATTACCTTTTTTGCGTGTGCTTTTTTTTAGTCACCCGAGACCATTTCCACACCGGCAATCATACCGGCATCAGAGTGACCGAGGATGTGACAATGTGCCGCCACAATACCGGTATAATCTTCCGGACGGAACCGGATTGTCACGTTACCCGGAGTGGGGACGGAGATGACGTCGCGCCAGTCGCCGATCTCGTAGTCGATGCCGTGGCCGTGACTCATGTCCACAATCTGGAAAGCGTTCGTATGCAAGTGAAACGGATGGTTCTTGAGAGTCACTGCGCCGCTTTCATCTCTCCGGTTGATGATGACCCACTCCTGTACCCGACCGAGAGGCATAGTTCGGATGCTGGTGCCGTCGAAAAGCGCGTGGTTGATGTAGTATGGTTTGTAGAAGAACCCGTCCTTCATCTCCGGATCGCCCATAGTGAATTCGAACTCAAACGGTAGCGGATCCATCCCGGCACGGTCTACTGCGGAGAGTTCAAGTAGACTCTTAGCAGGTCCATAGAGCTCTGAAGGCGGAGGTACAGCAGTGACAAGAGGCTCGTCGAGTGACTCGCCCTGGACGTGGATGAAAGCCAGGACTCCAGAGTAGAGATCCGAGTGGTTGCCCATAAATCCGTGTAGTTTGGGGTCCTTGACAGATTGAATCGGGCGCAGTATCTCAGGACCAACTTCCGTTGCCGGTTCGCAGTTTAACACAACGTCGACGCGAGCACCAGGCAAAAGGATCACGGTCTCCATTGGACGGGGCTTTGCCATGTAAAGACCGTCACTGGCTGCCAGCATAATAGAGCAGCCGGGCACTTGCACTTCCAATGAGGCGGTGCCACCAGCATGCAACATTCGGAGAAGGACGTTCTCGTGTGGACGCACTTGAATCTTCGGCAGATACTCGCCATTGACGGAGAAATACTGGGCAATGGGAGGGATCTGAGGTTTCTCCTTCGACGAGTCTGTTTCTTGCAGTAGTTCTTTCGATAGCTTGGCGTTTCTAATGGGGCGTTCAGTCTCCTGAACGTCCGGGTAGAGTTTGCGAACCTGTGCGTCCAGCTTGGTCTTGCCCGTGTACATGACCTGCATGTCCAGAGTACTGCGCGACGCCTTGGCTGCTTCCACCATCGACGTCATTATGCCTCCAGTGAACTTGAATTCCTGAAGCACCATGACATGTCGCTGCTTGATTGCTGCGTACTCTGCCGGCACAGTCGCCGGGTCATCTTCCACGACAATAGGACCCACCATCCCACCTCCCATTTGTAAGAATACGGAGCCGTGGAAGTGTGGGTGGTAGTGGAAAAGGCCTCTCGGATGGTTTAGTGGCACGTGCAGATGCGTGTCTGCGCTCTCTCCAGGAGCCACAATTCGGAACACGTTGTCTTCTGTTCCTGTGGGGTCCACGTGCATCCCGTGGAAGTGCAGGTTGGTGTTATTGGGCTCGTGCATTGTGTTAGCTGTCCACTCTCCAGCCACGTTAGGGCCCAAGTTGTTGACCAGGTGGATGTTCAGTACGTCGCCTGGTTTCAAGACGAGCATTGGACCAGGGACGCTGTCCTCATACGCGCGGGTGTAGAAGGCGATAGGACCGTTGTCCACGAGCTTCTCAGCTACTGTTATGGTTGTATTGAGCTCTCCGTTGATTGACATTCTCGTCTCGAGCGCCGGTAGCTCGGGTAGTTGTTGCAGCACCTGGTTCAGCAGCTCCAGTCGAGTAGAGGCGGGTCCAGCGGCCGCGCGCAGACTCTGACTTCGCTCCTTGTGCACATAGGAAACCAGCAACAGTGCGATGATGCCCACGCCCACCACGAAGGCACATGCAACGTTGCGGCGCAGACGTAGCGTTTGAGTCTGCAGCTGACGTGCTCCTCTCCGCAGGAACACATCACTGTCTTTAGCTTCATCCTCTGGGTCCTCAGTCGCCGCATCTTCTTCGGATGAACGCTTAGACTCGCAGAACACACCCGTGCCGTAGCTGCTATTGCGCGGGGAGCGGGGTGCCGCGCGTTTGCGGCTGCCATCAGCGCCAGGGATGGCCATCGGTCGATCAGTGAAATCCAGCAGTGCACATGGAAACGTCAAGTGCTTCGAATAGCTGCGGCCTATAGCCAATCAAACGGCGGCATTGAAAATACTGATATTAACATCATCTTCAAAATACTTTTATACTTCGTAATGGAAATTGTATTGGTCGACTTAAGCTACCGGTACCAATACAGCTGTCGGTCCAAAAGTTTCATATCCTCAATACCGGTAAACCGCTTCAGTGAAATGAGACACAAGGTACCGGTACTTGTGTGACCCGGACACAGGGCTTGCACGATCGTGGGTACATAATGGAGGTGATCAAAGCAAAAACAATCATCAAACAATGTTCATCTGTTAAATATCAAAACTTGTTAGCGGCTCCTTTATAAGCCACACCGCTTATGTCATGCGTCAGCAAAGCCACTGGCCCTTTCTCACGAGAAGAACGACTCGCCAGTCTGTTCCGATAGGAAGCGCTTGACCAGCGCCGGGATAATGTGATAGCCATGCAGAGACCTCGGACAGCACGTGTAGCCATCCCGCGCCATGTAAACCAGCTCGTTAATGAAGGAGCTCAGAATGAACTTCCGCTCCTCCGTGGTGGTCGTGAACTTGACTTTGAGGCTAGGTTTGCACGGTGTCACGTGCAGGAAATCCAGCAGACTTGAGCAGTACGCGCATGCCTTACGCTTGGGGTGGTGCTTACGCGCGATATGCGCCACGTTCGAGCGAAGTCTCGCAAAGTTTGAATATCGCTGCTCGATCTGGTAGTCCGGGGCCCTGTCCTCCGGCTCGCGGTCTGCCAGCCATTTGTGCGGGTCCAGCTGTCCCGCTGACAGCTTGCGACGGCTGCTTCGCGTTGACGGTAAACCCTTTTGCTGGCGGTAGCGGTACACGTCCAGCACAAAGTAGATGGTTCCCTCCTCGCGCTCTATTACATCGTGGATAGCAATGAATTCAATGCACGAGAGGAACAGGCGGATCTCCGTGGCGCGTGACACTTGCTGTGGGTAAATCGCGACGGGCGCCAGCTCCAGTTCGCGTAACACCAGAATCTCCGACGCCAACGGACTCAACTGCTTCGCCGTCGTTGACGCTGTCGTGGCTTTTTCGTCCTTGCTGCTGCTGGGGGTTACAGTGGAAGGCTCTGAGGGGGCTCTTACTCCAGCCATATTCTGCTCGCTGTTGTCCTCCGCCTTGGCCATTTTTGCAATGCTGTCTTGACCAAGTGCAGGCTAAAACTGAAGTGAGATCCGTGCTGAATGTAACCGAGGCGTAATCCCCCAGTGTCACATCTTTTATTATAACCTCTTAGAAAACATAGTAATAAAAAAAACATTTTTATTTAGATTTGCGTCTTAGAGCAAAATCTTTTACAGATGACCCCCTTAGTAGCAATCCCTGCTCATGGAATACCCTACTACAAGAATAACAAATCGGTTCCAGAAGTCATCTTCTTGTTGTGAAGGCCTAAGATAAAAATACATATCCCCTTTCCCTCGGAATATGGGATACAAAATCTCCAAAAATGACTCTTCTGAGGTGCTTAACTATGGGAGAGTCACTATTGTGCAGCACGTCCAAAGGAGGCAAGCAAGGACACTTGCTGCTTGCACCCATCTTGCAGCTCTCTCTGTATTACTCTGCATCGCTCTAAGCCCCTGCTCACTTCGCCCGCTGAATCTGTTTGAATAAGCAGCTTAACTGTCCACTTTAAGGTGTTCCTTACTATGCGCAGAATTGAGCTCTACATAATCATCGCCTTCAGTATTCTCGGAGGCATTCATCGAGATATTACTTGCGGGAACGTCCTCCACCTGGACTCCGCAGAACTCTCAATCAAGGGAGCTGTCGTACACGTTCTCTTCTGGTGGATTCGACAGTTCCGTTACCGACATCGGATCGGACGCATGTAGGTGCGACAGCATTGCTGCTAGCTCATCGGTCATGGGGACTTCCTCTTGTGGCTCACTGTATTCATACGCATAGTAATCGAGTAAACCGGTGTGTCTCGAACATTTAACAAATATCGAGGCCTTCTTACGTTTCAATAGCTTAGATATTGCTTCTTGATGGCGCTGTTGCAGCGACAAAGTTGAATGGGCCCACTCGGCTAGCTGTTGTTGTAATAGGTTGGGGTGGCTAGCATGATGCTGGCAAATTTGCAAAGCGCTGAGCATTGGTGAGCAAGGCTGTAAATGTACCTGAGTAAAAAGTTGGTTTCCCAGCGCTATGACTAACGAAGGGTTCATCAGCAAAAGAAGGACCTGTGCTTTTCAATATTTGGATATTAATAATGCGATAATTGTGGGTTCTTTTTTTTCTTTCCGGAATGGTCCACCCAAGTACGTGGGTACATATTAAAGGTCCAAAGTATCAAGCGAATCGCTTGCCGAAGTTCGGAGTCCGAACGCTATCCATTAGGTGCTGCTCGCGATGGCTGGTGCTCGATGGATTCATAGTGACAGTAATACAAGTGTAAACTAAACATGCTGCAGACTCTGCAATAGAATGCCAGAGCCTCTGCAGATGCAGACATATTGGGACATACCGAATTACCTTAGTTATGCATTACACCCAATCTGCAGTGCAGAGACCAGAAATTGCGTGTCCCGGCTATCGGTATCTTCGAACAAACAGTCTATTTAAATTTGAGCAAGTACGAAAAAGATCATCAAAGGGATCGACGCCATGAATAAATGAGGATACGGCGGCAATTAAATTTGCTAGCTGGTAAATCAGGGTAGAACGTGTGAATTGCGGACGCAATACTACCGTTCTTGTCTAGATACTCTAGTACCCTCAGCTTGTGAGAAGCAGTGTACGCCGTAATGGTGTTCGTTGGTGCTTGGCGGCCCTTGCCACCAGGTAGGCGAGGCCTCCACTTTGGGCGTTTACGTTGCGTTGGACTCATCTGCGGCTTTGAGAAGTGAGACCAGTACTAGATAATGTACGCAAATTACTGGTTGTCAAGCCGTGTAATTGATAACTAAGGATGCACGGCTTCCTTTCCCACTCAGCGTTTGGCGGCTTCTGATTGGCCACATTGAAGTGTAAAGAGTAATTCATAACTAAGGTTATTCGGTACCGGCGAGTTATGTTGACTATTCTGCTGTCATTACATCATCATACCGATGCACGACCACCTCATCTCGGGATTATCGTTTCATACCGGTATAAGTTTTGCGCACAAAAGGTAAGGAAAAAAGACCGTTGTTGCAGGCACTGAATGGAATGTATATAATCGGGGCGTCGTGTTACCCACTGAGCGGCACCATAGGCACCGGCGTGCCTTAAGGCACTTTATTTGGTGCAAGAGGTACCGATTTCAGAAAAGGGGGGTAATATAAAAGAATACATTTCAAAACTTTCCTCAAATTTAGAGATTGCGATGAGTGGTGGTGGTGGATTGAAATACAAGGTGTTACGCGAAGGTTGCACAGTTTATAAAACACATTGTGAATGTTGATCGATGTACAGATAACTTAGTGAGTTTTTGGACATTGGCTTCCAAACCATTTTACGAAGCGCCTATGAGGGAGATTTTAGGCCGCTTGTATAAGAGCTTCGAGCGTCACTTGTACTATGGAATTTCCAATTTGAAGAAATGCCACCGATGAGTTATAGTGCTCTTACTTATCTCAAAGAGCAAACGACTACCCTGATGAGCTGTCATTAACTCGTCTTACCAGTTTATTCCTGTAAATGATACTGGACACGTGAGATATCAACGAATTGTGTTTTGTACTGAAAGGTAAACATAGTGCTATCATCTGCAAGAGCGCTACGGTATACACTTCAGTAGATAGCGCAGCCGCATAAAGCGCAACATTGCGGGGCCTGGCTTGTTGGGCATAGAAATACCACGAATGTAGCACTCAAAGAAGAGGAGTACCATGACGCCGCAATTGGCTCCATCTGGCTGGCGTGGCTTGGTTTCCTTCTTGAGCCTCATGTTGGCACGCAATTCTCCGAATAGATCCTTTAGTAAACCATCGCACATGCCGTAATAATTGGTCTTCGTAGCTTGCAATGGGTCGAATATCGTGACTGATCTGGTTTCAGGGCGAAAATAAAACACAATCCCACACCAGTGATTGTTATCCACGTGTAACCCCATCAATACCAGCTGATTGGCGGAATCAAAAGGAGTGCCACTGCGTATAACGCGTAGTTTATCTTCTCGGTCGTGTAGCCGATGAAATATCGGATCGATAATTCCCACTTTGGTGTTTTCCTTTTGGAGTAGTACCAGCCCTTGAGCCATGCATGCATCATCTAACCATTTATTTCCACGTAACGTGAGTAGCGAGAGTGACGATAGAGAACCAAACGGTGTACGCGGTCCTCCGCGCAATAATAATGTCTCGATTTTATGCTCACGCATACCGATGTCATCACTCACGCCGTCCAAAAGTTCATCTGGCAATGACAACCGTTTGTTGCTGGTATTGACAGCCCAAACCACAGTATCTTCCACGTCCGTAATGCACTTCAAGGCACGGTGCCAGCGATCCATCGCGTTGATATCCCCTAGTTGATAGATACCAAAGCGAGGTACTCGTACTCCTACGTCATCTTCGCCACAGACCACAGGTACGGCTTTCCGAAACTGCTGAATAGCACTCTGTGCTTTCGTCACAAACCACTGCGGGAAAATGTAGCGAATGTCCTTTTCGCTCTCCTCGGATGTGAAAATTCCAGCAATAGCCTTCTTAGATTGTGGGACCGATCGTTCCGAGAGCGACTGCGTCGACGACTTGATATCAATGTAGCTGTAGTCCCTATCCAGAAGTTTGACGAGATTATTTAGGCTCGGCACAGGCACCAATTTCCTTGAACTAATTTTGTCGCCTTTTCCTTTCCACGAGTCATGCGCTCCTTCTTCCCGGACACTTTCTGCTGTTTTCGCACTTTAGGGCGCCCACGGCTCTTCGCACTTTTACTGATCTTGAATGTCGCCGGTGTAGATGTGTCAGAGTTCTCGCTAGCCGAGCTTGTGGGTTGTCGCTTCGACAGGATGCTTGTTGGCGCCGTTTCTACATCCTTTGCGCGATTGGTATCCTCAGTCACCGTAGGTACAGATGAACCCTTCTGAGAGCCTGTAGGCACTCCATCAGTACCTGTAGCCACTGCAGCTTCTCCTGTGGTACCTGCAGCCACTCCGCTGGTACCTAAAGCCACTGGAGGTGTTCCTGTGGTACTTGTAGCCACTCCAGTTGTATTTGACGTCACGGTATTAATACTCCCTGGCACAGCATCTGTAGTTGTAGTCTCAGTATCCATAGAGTCGCACAGGTGTGGGTGTGGTTGCGGCACGTCATCAGAATAGTCACATTCAGGACTTTGTTCGAGAATTTTGGGGGAAACAGGATCCAATTCTTGATCGGATGTTGCGGTGCCGCTTGCATCGACAGCAGAAGGTAGGTCGTACGAAGAAATCGATAACTGAGAAAGTAGGTCAATCCATTGACCTTCGCGACCCACGAACGGTGCAACCCCGTCCTTGATGATCTCCTCAAACTTGTCCAACGCTGCCAGCATCTCATTGAAGACTGCTGTACCATTACGGCTCATAATGTCAGCGATCTGAGTACCGCGTCGACAAGCCGTACTGAATTTGGTGGTGCCATTGAGAACCTTGTGTTTGCTTGACACCATCATCGACTCACGGATTTGGAAGGACTTGCGTGCGATCTGATCTTGGGGGGCGTCTTCCTCTTCAGCAGGTTGATTCAGCTTACACGACAATCTCCATCGCTGGGCAATGTGCCGAATCGGAATTACATTCTTACCATTGCTCAGTCTCCAGTACATGACGTGACGACAAGGAAGAAGCGTGGTACGCATGAAAACGCAAGAGCAGCGATATACCTATCATTCGTACCAATACAAAGCCAATTAGTCAATAATTAAGATAAATATTGCTAGCATCAACTATAAAACTTACCGACGTATCGACATGATAGGCGTTATTGTCGCTGCCGCACGATACGGTGAACATGTTGGGCGTCACTTCGGTGACCTCGTAGTGGGTAGCTCGGTCCTTTGCAATCCAGTACTGTTGCTCAATCTGACGGTAGGTGTGTGGGCTCACCTCCTGTGAAAGTCGCTCCAGCTCTTTATCCGCGCCCTGATATCGCATGTAACCCACCGCTGTCATATTTTTACTGTATTCCATCTCTGCAACAGCCTGCAGAAATATCAGTGTATCCACACATTCGTCAAGAGGCATCTCAGGTTTCAGGATTTCCTTAAGATGCCCCCACGATGCCTCCAAGCTATCGCATAACACACAAACGTTAGCGTCAAATTAAATACAGAAGCCTTAACTCCATAAATTCTTACCGGTTATTTGTGTGATTTCCAAGATGCGGTACGTCTGAACGGGCGTAGAGAGCCCAACGCTCCTTCTGTTGGTCCCAATTCTTCAAAAAAAAACGGAGAAACGGGTGCTTTGGGTCTGGGATCGCGTCTGTAGAGCGTAACTGAACGTTATCCAAAGAGGAAATACAGGTACTTGAGATACCTTGTGTAATCTTCACTTGTGGGTTGCTGTTCTCATCATATCCACTGCGTCTTCTACTTGATCCATGTCGAAGCTGCTTGGCCCTCCGTACTCACTCTTTGACATCTCCGACCGGATGTATTTCTTGAGATGGAGTGACAGAGAATCACTTTAACGTTTGGAAGGTGCGCCGTCCGAAAGACTCAGCTCACCCATTATCTTTGGTCGATCACGATGAACCGAATCTTCTCCCACGACGGATTTCAACAGCCTGAATGATCAGATCGACTCGGTAAGACACTCGACACTTTCAATTTCCATTATGCTGTCCTGACCATACGGCCCCTAGGCACGCAAACGGTAATCATTAGTTCCTTTCGGTACCTACAGGTACATCTGAGGGTAACTCTTGTACATTACGTGTCTATAGTCACCAACAGGTACCTCTAGACACGTAGACTTACATGGCCGTACACATCATGTATCATGAACGAGAATAGCTTGTACCTCGAGTCGTTCGTGTTGTGCGTCGCGTCGATCAACAGCACCTCCGGAAAAGCCTTGAGCCAGCGACGCATCTGGCGCGTCTGCAGCGTGATTGTCTGCGCCACAGATTTGTCATCAACAAACACAGAAGCTCGGTTACCCCGCCGTCCACAAAATTCCCGCATTAGAGATTCTAGTCACTGCTCTACGGTTCTGGAACCGCGCCGCTTCTCTCTCATTCTGGCAACCATGTTGTGGACGTCACGGAGCGTCACGTTCTGACCTTTAAACGGATTCATCAGAAATAGAAGCTAAAGCAAGACGAAAGTCATGTATACGTACCCGTCTTCTCGCGCAGAAACTGCATGATCCGCTTGGGTTTCGAACCCGACGCTTGCAACACGTCCACGAACGCAAGTAGCATTGGATCCTCGACACGCCGCACCGACGAATGGTTCTCGTACACAGCTCGGTCGACGCGATGATTATGGCTGATGCTGTAGCCAGTAACGCGCACCATGAATCTCTGCTTATCTCTGTTCCACGTCACAGCAGCCTTGATATCCGCCTTGCACTCAGTCGATTTGCCGAAGTAGCTCTTTCGTTGACCAGTACTGCGACTTTTTCGACGCCATCCGTGCGTGCAGATAAGTTTCATCCAATAGGTTTTGAATTCATCTGGGATAAGCGAGGGCGGTGAATCGGACGTCTCTCCCGATGTGTTGTCAGCGATAGCTCTGATCTCCGTGTTACGACGGGCCACCGACGTCGAACTACGGAGTCGAAAGAGCTGGTGTGTCCTCTCCTGATACTCGCCCATGTAGCTGTTGAATGCGTCCCAGTTTTCATGCCATTCCTGGTCGATTGGTGAGGCCTCCCACACGCTGGCGGATGGCACGTGCGCCTCTGGTTCGCTTTCACTCATAGACCGTCTCCTGTGCGGTTACAATATCTCTTAGCAACAATAACAACCAACACAAGCGCAATAACTTAACGTACACAAAAAACGACCCAAGGTCGACTTGAGGCCTAGACGCGCGAAAAGCCAAATGAGCGGCTCTGAACGTTTTGCGGAGGGACCTAAAGGGGGGGTGTCTGATTTCAGATTTTTGAAATTTTGAAATATCTGGTAATATATCAAGGTAATTTACCGATTGGGTACCGTAAAAGTCCTTTTAGGTGCGATCTCACTCAGTGCCTCTATTCACTCTCAAGAAAAAATGCATTCCCTGTTGGATCATTCAATATTACGACGATCATGGCGAAGACTCTATAAAACTCCACTTGAAAAAACCACTCGATCTCGAGAGGACTCGAAGAGTAAAGCACACTTGGTAATGCGTCTCAGCTCAGCAGTATCGATGTGTCTTGATTTTGAACTCATGAAAACCGGGGCGGTACGTTTTGTTCGCTACGCACGATGATCCTGATACTTGTATCTCGCAGTGCTAATCGAAGCCATCGTGGCCTACTGCGGTTAATAGCACAGCGCGGTGCGCACGCAGTTGCTTCCTTGTTTTTGAAGGGCGTTCAATGAAGGCGCGCATGTCATGGACCATGGCCCATGGTGGCTTGAGTTCGTGAAGTCATCTGAGCGTGACGTTCAACGTGCCAGCTTGACCCCTTCCTTGCGCGGTACCTCAGCCCATCCACGGATCCTATCCAAGCAGTACATTGCGCGGCGCACTTGTCGAACTTCGACTCAAAGTGGTCATCGTGAGCCCGAACGTCTCTTTTAGGTGTCCACACGCGCCATTGGTAACCAATTTGGTTGGTCTCTGCCGTGAAACGGATCTCCGTCGGCAATGCCTCAAGGTACGCGTTATTCGTGAATTTGCCAGCTTCTCCGCATACCAACAATGAAGCCACAGAGCAGCTACAGCATCCCGAAGACGCAGACCGCCATCATGTACGAGGCTGACAACGCGCCTCTCCAGGTGCATGAGGACTGGCCGGTTGTCCAACCCGAGGATCTCAAACCGGGTGAGGTTCTCATCCGCGTCGCTTACACGGGTGTGTGTCACTCGGACCTGTCCGTCTGGGAAGGCGAGGGCCCTCCGCTCCCCAAGCCGTTCCCTATGGTCGCCGGCCACGAAGGTGCCGGTTATATCGCTGCAATTGGTGAGCACACCCGCACTAACCTCAAGATCGGAGACGCTGTCGGTATCAAGTGGCTTGCACACACCTGTCTGGGCTGCGAGGACTGTCGTAAGGGTCACGAGACGACCTGCGCTTCGGCTGGTGTGCACGGCCTGACTTGTCACGGCTCGTTCCAGCAGTGGTGCGTGTCGTTTGCCGACCACGTGACTCCCATTCCGTCGGGTTTGGACCTGGCAGCAGCCGCTCCGATCTTGTGTGCCGGTATGACAGTGTACAAGGCCTTAAAGCAGATTAGTGGCTCGCCGGGTGAGTACGTGGTGATCCCCGGTGCCGGTGGCGGTCTGGGCCACTTGGCCTGTCAGTACGCCCGTGCCATGGGCTACAAGGTGGTGGCTATCGATACGGGTGACGATAAGCGTAAGCTGATCGAGTCGTACGGCATCAGGAGCTTCATCGACTTCAAGGAGGGCGACGTGATCGAGAAGGTCCGCGCTGCTACTGGTGGTCGCGGTGGCCACGCGACCATTGTCGTGGCCGACTCGACCGCTGCCTACAAGGACGCTCTGATGTTCCTGCGCCCGCACGGCACGCTTGTTGCCGTCGGTGTCCCTACGGGCGCCGCCATCGTTGCTCCCGTTAGTCTGATTATCCCATTAGAGTTCCGCATCATCGGGTCATACGTTGCTAGTCGCCAGGACGCTATCGAGGCTCTGGACATGGTCCGTGAGGGTCACGTCAAGACCACATACACCGTGGAGCCGCTCAAGAACCTGCCGGATGTGTTTAAGCGCATGAAAGCCGGCCAACTCCGCAGTCGCGTTGTGCTGGACTGCGAGTAAAGTGCTGAGTTGTAGAGGAGATATATGTCAAATAAAATGTGCAAGTTGTTCGCAGTTGAGGTGTGCTTAAGTCCTTAACAGTAAGTTTCTGCTGCACGTTGTCCATGAAGATCTACTACCACATCGACTGTGAAATGTTACACGAGGTTTCCACTGAAGATGGTGGCCATCATAAGCATGCGGCGCAAGTCGTGCTAGTTACAGGCCTCCTGCTTGTCATCGTTGGACATCATGCGCTCGTGGATGAACCAAGATACCCACTCGGCTTCAACTTAGTCAATACAGATCATCAGTCATTTAATGCATGACTCTAGCACGTACAGTACACGGTAATTGCAAATTGAAGGTACATGTACTCGCGCAGGAAGCGATACGAAGTGAACCTCGTCTGGCGTGACTTCCCACGTGTCAATTCTCTCGTCGAGAAACTCGACGCCTGCAGCAAGGTCCAGCATGAAGCATTCTAACGACCTTTTGCCAATCCTCTTCACTCTTTATTCTACCGGCCCATTGCTAAGGTATCCTCGGAGTTAAGTGTTGATTGCCATGCTTCGTGTTGTCTCCCGTCTCGCTCAGCCGTCCAAACGCGTGACACAACTCGCGGCCAAGTCTTTTGTCGGATCGGCTGCGAGCCACGACTTGCAGTGCCGCTACGGCTCTTGTGTAGGCAATCGACCGCGCTACTTCTCAGTGCAATCGCAGACGCGCTACGACATCCCCAAGACACAAACGGCAATTATGTACGAGTCTGAAGGTGCCCCGCTTCAAATCCGCACCGACTGGCCCGTGGTGCAGCCAAAAGATCTCAAGCCAGGTGAAATTCTCGTTCGTATGGCCTACAGCGGCGTATGCCACTCAGACGTGATCATCTGGGAGGGCGGAGGTGCTCCCGTTGGCAAGAAGATGCCGCTGGTCGGCGGCCACGAAGGCACGGGCTACGTCGCAGCTATCGCAGAGAACACGACGACAAATCTCAAGGTCGGCGACCCTGTCGGCGTCAAGTGGCTGGCACACTCGTGTCTTGGTTGCGAGGACTGTCGTAAGGGCCACGAGACTACATGCGAGAGCGTCATCATGCACGGATATACGATCGACGGCTCGTTCCAGCAGTGGTGCGTCTCGTACGCGGACCACGTCACGCCGATCCCGAAGGGCTATGACATGGCAGCCGCTGCACCACTACTATGTGCCGGTGTGACGGTGTACTCGGCGCTCAAGGAGATCGGAGGTGCTTCAGGTGAGTACGTCGTGATCCCCGGCGCCGGCGGAGGCTTGGGTCATCTGGCTTGCCAGTATGCCCGGTCGATGGGCTACAAGGTCATTGCTATTGACTCGGGCGACGATAAGCGTAAGCTCCTGGAGGGCTACGGTGTCAAGCATTTCATCGACTTCAAGGACGGCGACGTGGTCGGACAGGTCAAGGCGATCACGGGACGCGGAGCTCATTGCGCGTGTGTGGTGGCCGACACAGAGTCTTCGTGCCAGGACGCACTGCAGTACATTCGTCGGCACGGCACCGTGCTGATGGTGGGCGTGCCCAAGGGCGGTTTGCTGCCGGTGCCGATTGAGCCGACAGTGGCGTTCACACACCGCATCATTGGTACCAATGTGGGCAACCGTCAGGACTCCATCGAGACGGTCAATCTCGCTGCCGACGGAGCCGTGGAGACCTTCTACAACGTTGAGCCACTCACGAACTTGCCCGACGTGTTCAAGCGGATGAAGGCTGGTACGTTGTTCGGCCGCACCGTGCTGGACTGCGAGTAGGAAAAGTTATCCGTCACGGATAAAACAGTTGTCAAGTTTTGATTGAAGACGCTTTTAGTATTTTGAAGAGTGGATAAAACTGTGAAGTTATTCCTTTAACAGACTCTGCACTTGAACGCCGCTGGATGGTGAAGTGGTTTAGCTGCTGTTGGAGAAAGCTTCAACACATGGAGACAACGCTACTTCTTGAAGTATTACCCAAGCATCCGTCATATCGCTTCAACATGAAACTTGAAGGATCAAATCCGGTGATCTGTGCTCGAGCAGAGCAGTCCCGCACTCTGCACTTCATGGGTCGGTTACCGACCCGGTATACATGTATTAAAAAGCTTTTTATGTGATGAGTGCGTGACGGACGTCGACAATTGCTGGCGTCACACTGACCGACAGGGGGGGAGGCTCATTGTCGAATTCTCCCCTTGCAGAGCAGAAGAAAGACAAGATGCTGCGCGCGGTTTTTCGCTTTGCAAAGCCATCCAGGCGCACTGCGCAACTCGCGAGCAAGTCGTTTGTCGGAGTATCTTAGGGTCATAACGTGCAATACGGCTGCGCATCCTGCCGGCTCCAGACCGCTCGATCGTTTTCCGTGACGTCCCAGTCAGGCTACGACATCCCCAAGACGCAGACCGCCGTCATGTACGAGGCCGACAACTCGCCGCTCCAGGTGCGCGAGGACTGGCCTGTCGCTCAGCCTGAAGATCTCAAAGCTGGCGAAGTGCTGGTTCGTATTGCATACACTGGCGTGTGTCATTCGGATCTGTCGGTTTGGGAAGGCGGAGGACCTCCGCTGCCCAAGCAGTTCCCAATGATTGGCGGCCACGAAGGTACCGGCTACGTCGCAGCCATTGGTGCTAATACCAAGACGAAACTTAAAGTGGGCGACGCGGTGGGAGTCAAGTGGCTTGCACACACGTGCTTAGGCTGTGAGGACTGCCGTAAAGGTTACGAGACTACCTGCGGGGAGGCAGGCGTTCACGGCTTGACCTGCCACGGAACCTTCCAGCAGTGGTGCGTGTCGTTCGCAGACCACGTGACTCCAATCCCGAAGACTTTGGATCTGGCATCGGCTGCTCCGATCCTATGTGCCGGTATGACGGTGTACAAGGCGTTGAAGCAGATCGGCGGCTCGCCGGGTGAGTACGTGGTGATCCCTGGCGGTGGAGGTGGTCTAGGTCACTTGGCGTGTCAGTACGCGCGTGCTATATGGGCTACAAGGTGGTCGCCATCGACTCTGGCGACGACAAACCCAAGTTGATCGAGTCGTACGGCATCAAGAGCATTATTGACTTTAAGGATAGAGACGTGATCGACCAGGTTCGTGCTGCTACGGGTGGACGTGGCGCCCATGCTGTCATTGTCGTGGCTGGCTCCAAGGACGCGTACAAGGACCCGCTCATGTTCCTACGTCCCCGCGGCACGCTGGTTGCGGTGGGTGTACCCAAGGACACGGCCGTCGTGGCCCCTGTCGAGCCGTTGATCCCGCTGGAGTTCCGTATCGTCGGCTCCAACGTGGGCAGTCGTCAAGACGCCATCGAAGCCATCGACCTCGCAGCCGACGGTCATGTCAAGAGCTCGTACACCGTTGAGCCCTTGAAAAACCTACCCGATGTCTTCAAGCGCATGCATGCTGTCAAGTTGCGAGGTCGTGTCGTGCTGGATTGCGAGTAAGTTTGTGGTGTTATAGACTACCTATCAACTCTGTAGCCCGCGCTAGTATAGCAGACGCAATACCGGCACGTCTGGCCGTCTCGATAGCGACACTGTCACTCGCTACCCCGTCTTTAAGCACGTAATGGAACGTCACCACGTCTTGAATCTCCGTGTGCGCGTCGGCCTCTTCCTGGTCGTAAAAGTGATACTCCAACTGTCTTGTCTGGCATTTATCGCCCAAACGAGCTAGCAGTTTCTCCGTCGCTGCAGTAAGATGCGTGGCAAACACCACGAGGCATCCGGCTGTGTCAGTTAGGTACGTCATCTGCCCCACCGCCACAGCTTCTGCATACTGAGCAGCCATTCCAAAGCCAATCTCGTCTATAAGAACGAGTGAGTTCTTCGTAGCGTTACGCGAGATGGACCCCAGCGTTGTCAATTCTTGGGCGCACGACGAGTATTTGCTTGTACTGCGATGCATGAGCGTGTAGACCCCGTCGAACACAGACAACCGCACACTTGACGCTGGAACAAATGACCCGATTTGAGCGAGAATCACCACGAGCGCACACATGCGAAGCAGACTGGTCTTGCCCCCCATATTCGGACCCGACACAACCATCAAAGACCCGGCCGTACTCGATATCAACACGGAATTGCTAATATACGACGATCCTTCCAGCAACATTTCAATAATCGGATGACGCCCATCGTTGATCTCTAATGTGACGACGTCATCGTCCACAAACTGAGGCTTCGTATAGTTTGGGTAACTCTGAGCCACTGTAGCCAGCGAACACAAGGCGTCCAGGTTCGCTAGAATGTCCACACAGGCCATCCCAGTCACGTACACTTGGGCGTCCACCTCACTCACAAACTGTCTCCATAAAGCTCGAACCAGCTGCTCTTTCTGTTGTTTGACAAACTCTTCCTGAATATGAAGCTGGATGATCTGTTTCGGGTGGAACCGGACGAGTTGCGTAGTGGAATTCACTACCAGCCAGTCTTGAGGCACAACGTGAAGATCTGAACGCTTAACTTCGATCAGATGGTGGATGTCACTCAACGAGCCTCCTCTGAACGTAGAGTACTCTAACAAAGGGTCTCTGAGAGCACTTCTGCACGTCACCAGCACGGCATCGTACTCACGCGCGAGTGTCTCGAGCTCTCGCGTGAACGCTCGATACTTTCGTGCTAGCGAGGGTTGTCTGCAGAGAAGTCGGTGAATGGTTTTCTCGACGTCATTTTGTCACGCATATTTGACATCCACCTCGTCTAGAAGCGGCGTGAGACGAGCTTGCAGTGTCGGATAGCCTTCTAGAAGCCGATCTAGAACTGTAGTTTGATCTACGTCTGTTATGGAAGCGAACGTTGCTTTTAATCCGTGGATATGATCTTCCAGATCCTGTAGAATCTGGAGCGCTCCGACGGCTTGACTGGGTGTCGCCTTGCCGAGATGAACCTGCTGTAGATACTTCAACAGATGCTTGCTACGAGGTAAAATGGTCGTCGTCAACTCCTCATACGCCAGTCGGTGTGGGATTGATTCCGTAGATAACGACCCAGAAGGGAACGCTAAGCTCTCGATCGTCTTTTGACGTGCCGCGATCTCTTGTACGTCGACTAAAGGAGAGCGAATCCAGTCACGAAGCTTCCTTGCACCAGCACTGGTTTTGGTGTGGTTTAGAATCGACAGGAGGGAGCCCACGCCGCGCTTGGTTGTCTGCAAGTAATATGTGTTATATAACTTACTGCGTAGAATGAAAACTAGGCACCTTACCGAGTTGACGAAGAGGTCGAGGTCTCGATAGGCTTCCGTTGGAAGGTGAAATTGCCCTGCAAAAGTCGATGTTGGGCTGGATAAACTTGTATAGGTCGGTGCAATGAGCGTCTGCGCAGTACCCAGCGAAGATAGATATTGCCACATTCCTCCAAAGCAGCAGACGCACATTTTCGGCAGATTTGGGTACGCAACTGTAGTAGTGTACTCCGATCCAGCTTCATGGAAAGCGCGCGTGAACGTCTCCTTAGCAGCCGAGTAATCAAAAGCCTCGTTAGGTATCCGTTCCATGCGGACAGTGGCTTTTCGATCGTCTATAACTGAAGTCTCGTCTGAAATTGCCACAAAGGTATCCACTATTTGCTCAGTGTACGCACTGAGTCGACCTGCTGGTAACACAAACTCCACTGGGTCGAGGGTTTCCAGTGTGCGCTGTAGGCGTTGCCGCTTGCCATCTACAGTAGATACAGGAAACACATATCAGTTGTGAGATTGACGACGCAACCGCTTTAGTTCTACCGCACCATCTTCGAATTCGTCAAATTTGGATTCGCCTGTGTGAATGTCGTGCATGAAAATGCCAATGCGCACATCTTCGGAGAAGACCTAGTACAAGAACCTCAGTTCATGGCAACAAGAGCAAGAAACTCGCTACCAGTAGACGCACCGGACTCCTTTTCGTTTCTTCATCGACCTCGTGCATTGACTGCGAAAAGAAGGGCTTCGAATGTATCGTTTCTTCCACAATACAGGCAATAAACCTTGCAATTGTGTCCTCCTCTTCGCTGTCATCTCCACAATTTTCTAGCTCTGGAATCGTCGCTCGAGTATAAATGTCTGTCACACATCTACAGTACATTTGCAGTCTTAGATTTTTATCCATAAGCTTTAGTTATCATTTGTCGCCTTTACCTCTCCAGAGGTTTGCGTTGTGCACCTGGCGCTTTGTTAACTGCTCGCATGGCGACCGAGTCCATCTGCTTTACAACGCCAACTTTAAACCCCGCGTGGACTAATCTTCGAGCATGAAACAGCGTCCGATGCACCGGCACCGACGTCTCCAGGAAGTTTTTATGCTGCTGGGCTCGAATGTCCAACACCGCAGCAGCGTTCTGCAATGAATACATAATTTATATTCCTTGTGCGAACCATGAGATTCGCAACACTAAACCTTGCGGATACCTCGGCATCTTTGCCAAAAATGCGCATACGATAGCCACATTCGAACAACAACAGAGTATTTGGGTACGCCTTTCGCAGCCTCACAACCTGCTTCTCCATGGATGTTAACGACGGTTGCGGCTTCGTTGACGATGTAGTTTTCTTGGCATTGGGTTCTCGCTGCTTGCGTTTGCGAGATCGTAGGGAGGTTAGTCCGGAGGGCTGTGTGCTGTCATGGTGGTCACTGGAGCAACGTGGTCGCGGCGCCTCGGAAGCGCGGAAATACTTGGAGTGGCGCATGCTTGAGGTTTACTTAAGAAATGATAACTTTGCTGACAGCATTAGATACAGTATACCGTTTATCTAAGCGGTGCTGTGATTGGCTAAGTCGCAGATTGTCAAAGAGATACCGGTAATGCGACGGTATCAACTCTTCTTTTTTTCGCGTCAGCTTGAAGAAGCACACAATTGGAACTGTCTAACCAAAACAAAATGGCAACATTCAGTACAGATGCAATTGACGGCGAGTCTAGCCGCAGTCTGGACATGGAACTAGGTCGCCACCTCTCACAGTTCTCTGACAGTGCCAAATTTGCCGTGAGCCTCAACCAGATCCAGCGCGTTGCCATTAGTGGCATGTACGACAGCCCCGATAACGACGGCGCCACCATATACGTGGTGGACGTGTATCTACAGCACGGTCAGAAAGGTCTGCCCACCTCAAAGATAAGTGAAAGAATGCGCGCTCGCAAGAGGCGACTACTGCACGAGCAGGACGCGGAGAGGCCAGAGTGCCATGTGCAACACCGCTATTCGGACTTTCGCGCTCTACGCGAGAAGATATGCGAAGTGGTGGATGTCAAAGACGACCAGATGCACCCAGTGTGGTGTTCGTACTGCAATCGCGTGCTGTGGCTAATGAAATTCGGCGGCTTCCCGTCGCGCTTTCCGAACCGAGGGGCTGTAGCGACCTTCACTGGATGGCATCGCTTGTTAACCCATAGCCGCAAACACAAGCTGAAGCAATTTATTAACGAACTGCTGGCTGCCGCCAAGGACGAATCTTATCGCTACGGAAACACGCAGTGCCAACGTTTCGTCGCGATCTCGCAGCTATTACAGATTTTTTTGCTGGAGCCACACGGGCAGACGTTGTCGTGGTCTGGAGTGTTGAATCCAGCAGGATAGACACGGACTGCAGCCGTCAGCATTGGCTCTCATTACAGTAGTCATATGCTGTCGAAAGCTTCCGTCGGAAAGACGTCGCAATGGAGCTCGGAGCCTTCCGTCTTTGTGAAGAGATTGGGTTGATCACTTGCAGTAGACATTTTTAGAGGGCGCTTTAATTGTATAAAGCATAAGGTAGGCTCACCAGAACGGAGCACCAAGATGAGAGCCGACAGTGAAGGACGCGCGCTTGCCTTTTCTCCCGACAGTGACGGTACAGAGCGGCGCAGCCTCTACACGGCTTCAGACAACCGTCTTTCGCAGCTCTCGAGCAGTGCCAAGTTCGCTGTCTCGCTGAACCAGATTAGCCACGTGGTCATTAGAGACGCGTACAACCGTGATGAAAACGGTGACATCGCTGTCATCTACGTTGTGGACGTCTTCCTAATAAATGTACAGAAGGGCTTGCCCACACTATCGGCGCATCGATGGCGTAAACTCACGTGGCGCCAGAAGCGAGGGAAGCAGAGCGAGCGCCCAGAGTATCAAGTGGAGCACCGCTATTCGTCCTTCAGACTGCTACGACAGCGAGTTTCGGACGTGGTAAGTGCTAACTCGACGGACATGGACCAAAACCACCCGCAATGTTGCCCATACTGCAGCCGCGTGCTGTGGTTGGTAACAGCTGGAGATTTCCCGTCGCGGTATCCGAACAGAGGCGCTCTGGCAACCTACACTGGCTGGAGACAGCTGCTCATTCATTCGAGGAAGCACGGCTTGGAGAAGTTTATCAACGAGCTGCTGACGGTAGCGAAAGACGTGTCATATCGCTATTGCGCTGTTCAGTGCGAGCGCTACGTGACGGTGTCCCGGATTTTAAACGACTTCCTTGGCGATCCACATCTTCGGTGAGCATGATAAAGCAGTGCTCACACGTGAGGTACCAGCTAGGCATTGCTATAGGCAAATTACTTACTTTAAAACTCGATAATTGCCATGTACCGGTACGTCGACACTTACAAACAAGTAACGGCAGCCGTCCAAAATACCATTTGATATCGAGAGTCCAAAAGTTTGCTGATGAGGCCAGGGACACCATATTTGACTAGCAAAAGAAATCAAGCAATACCCAAACGTTGACGAAATCCTGTATTGTCGTCACCGTTTCAACCAGCAACCATAATCGTCGAGTTCGCAGACATCGGTCCTGACTCAGGCCGAGATCACCTCGGCGAAAGAAACGCTGCCATTCGGCGCTTTTACGTAGTATACGTTAGTGGCTGTGAAGCGACAGACGCCAAGCAAACTCTTGTCGAGTGGAGCCGCAATCACAAAATGGACGAGTGATGACTCCACCGGGAAAGCAAGAGCAATAGTCGATTCAGTGTTTTTGAAGCGCCGGCCACGTACTGTACCGGTATGACTGCATTGAACGTCAGTGTCGAGCTGCTTGCTTCATGTATTTTAACGCGTACACGTCGTGAAGTGTCGAAGAAACACGTCCGTGAATGCTGACTGACTTCAGCATCCTAATATGTATTTTGTTGTAACGCTTCTTGAAGTCGTGATTAAAGCGACGGGGCATCGATATCATGCGACAGAAACCGCACCCCATCATGTGGCCCGCACACCAAATGACATCTGTATAGCCGATAGTAGCAATTTGACTTGAAACAAACAAGAAAGCAAAAATGCTCTTGTACCGTCTTCCTGCTTTTATTTGTGGTGGCTTCAACAAGCAAGAATGACAGCCATTTGCAAACCCGCGCGGCCGCGCCGGACCACTAATATTGCATTCCTAGTAATGATCCTCCCGTACAAGCGCGATGCTGATTTCGATCTTGAGAGTCACAGTGATTTTCCACGTGAACTAAGTCCAAGTGCGAGCTCTTTCCAGCGACTCTCACAGCTGTCAACGACTGCCAAGTCGGCCATGTCGCTCAATGAGATCTACCGCGTCGAGATCAGCAGCGCATTCGAGAGCGATGACGCCACCATTTATGTCGTCAATGTGTTCCTGCGAACCACGCAAAAGGGTTTGCCAACTATGGAAACGCTAGACCAACGTCGACGCCGTTTGCGCCGGGAATATCAGGGACAAACACCAGATTACCAGGTCGAACACCGATACTCCGACTTTCGCGCCATGGTTAAGAGCATTTCGAACGTGGTGAACGATCATGATCACTTCCGATTTTGCGCATATTGTAGTCGCGTAGGCACCACTGAATCCGCCGCGGGTTTCCCGCCGCGCATCCCGAACCGTGGCCCGCTCGCGGCAGGCTGGCGCCAATTGCTGACACGGGTGCGGAAACGCCGCCTCGAGCGCTTTATGAACCAGTTTCTCAAGGCTTCGAAGGATATGTCGTATCGTACTAGCGCTACCAGCTACTGCGGTCGGTTCTTGGTGGTCTCACAGATTATGCTCAGCTTTCTTACACCGCATGAGGGTGCGAAAAAGCTCCCTGGACAAGACAATCGCTGTAGGTCGTCTCAATGACACTCATTTATTTACCGGTATTGTCAATAATAGCTGGAATGGCTTATGCCAAGTGTGCCTCCTCGTTTTCTTTAAATAATAGGAGAAAGTCGAAGCTACATCATATATATCTCACGACTGAGCCAGTTCATCACATCGAAACTTAGTGGCCGTCCTCTGCCACGCGTGCGGTCTTCCCCGGCCGCTCCTTTTGTTCAGTGAAGTTGTCGCGGTACGCGCATGAGACGAAGGCGTGTACATGTACAGTATGCATCGCCATCAACGTGCTGTGGCGAATCGCCACTGGCGATGAACACTTCTGCACTGGTGGAGAGATTTGCAGTCATCGAGATTCTCGAGCATGACTACACCTTTATTGTAATAGGCCTACAGAGCAGATCCAGCAATGATCCTCTAAGGTTCTATTGTCACTGTGCAAGTTAATATTTGCAGTCGACCTCCAATTTTCGTGGAGACAAACGTTATTAATACAGTAGTAGTCGAGGCGTATTGTCATACCGGTTTACCGACGAACTACCGTCACGTCATTGGCTGCCAGCTTCAACTTCGAGGTGTTCTGTCCATGGCTACGAATCACATCAAAATTTCCACACGTTGAATACCAAATCGATCATGACAGCGAGCTCTGGTAGCAGCGACTACGACATCTCTGCGCTGCAAAGTTGCAGCAGCATACCGAGCCTGATCACCACAGCCAGCTCGTCGGAACGTAGCGACGGCCACGAGGGAGAGAGCCAACGTGGTTTTGGCCGCCTCTTGCACCTCTCTACCATCTCCAAGTTCTCTATAAAGCTCAACCAAATCCACCACGTCAAAATCTGCGCCACATACGACGAGGCCGACGACGGAGCTACAGTCTACATTATGAACGTTTACCTGCGCTACGTGCAAAAGGGTCTTCCACCGCACTCCACGCATGGTGAATCCAAGGCAGAGCGAAAGAATCGCTTACGACTCAAGCGAGAGATGGAATGCCCTGTATACCAGGTGGAGCATAGATATTCCGAGTTTCGCGAGCTGCGGAGGCGTATCATGAAGACCGTTAAAGCGCGCGGGGACAGTAGGTATCACCAGCACTGCTCGTACTGCAGTCGCGTCAAGTTCATCGACTCGTCAACCAGCTTCCCACCACGTGTACCGAACCGCGGAGTCGTGGCAACATGTATCGGCTGGCGGCGCGTCTGTACGCACTTCCGCAAGCGGCAACTCGAGAGTTTTGTTAACCAGGTGCTCAAGGCTGCGAAGGACCTGTCGTACCGCACTGGACGGGGGCAGTGCGAGCGATTCCTCGCAGTTTCGCATATCCTTAACTCGTTTTTGTCAGCACCAAATATGCTCGCGACGGAGAGCGTGTGGTAGTGCAAGGTGCATTTTTGCTGACAATTGACGGTTGTCAGGTTAGCCCTAGAGAAGTTCATTCTGCTCGTCTCTGCTGAGCCAGGGAGATAGTTTCTAATAGAAAGCAGGCTCTGCGATAAATATAATATTTGCGTTCATCACGACCCCATTTGGTGTGCAGAAGGTTAGATCTGCATGGTTTTGAATCCATGTACCTCAAAAGTGGTCACACTGCTCGCAGCTGTGAAATAGTACTATTAGTTGCTACGCTGCAGCTGACTTGTGTTTTTTTTCATCGTTCACTTGTTCTGGAGCGTTATTATATTACCGGTGTAGAAGTGTCGGCTCATGTTGACCAATATCGGTGATACAGTCGATGCCATTCCGATTTGCACGGCGATATTATCGCCAATTTGGCGCCTTGGCAGAAGAAGTGTATCTTACATCTCGCACTCGATCGAACGGAGCCGGTGCCCTGTATCTCCGCTCGAGATTGTGGTAGCGTGAACCCAGCCATACAAGTAAATAAGGGGTACACGATGGGTAACGCTACGTCATCGACCCCGCCGCGCCGCCGTGGAGCTGAGCCCATCTCCAAGTTGCAAGTTGCGGCCGGAGGACCTGCTGCACGGGTTGAACTGAGAATGACGGTTTGGGCTGCCCATTGGTCAGTTGGAGACCAATGGCGGTGCTGTCAATTGAGAGAAAGTCGCTTCATTTTTCATTACAAGTGCAGTCCCTTCAAAACCGGTCTCGCACCGGTATGCCACCCGAAAAAACTGTCAGACCTGATGTGGCAACCTTCTTCGCGCATACACGTACTCCCACTTCGTCCACTACAGTAAACATGGCGCGCCTTTTTTTTCACCTTCAAGATCACCGACAAATAAATCGCTGGAGACTCCAGCAGCCACAAGTGAGCACGCAGCCGAAAGCAAAGTGCCCAAGTTACAAGGATTGCTGCCCCACCTCGAATGATGGTGCCCACCACGAGCGACTTCGACGAAATGGATGCCGTCACGGACTCAGCGAGCGACCGCTCAAGCCTCGACGCACTGGAGCTGGGCGCGCGGCTGTCGCAGCTGTCCCGTGCCAAGATGGCAGTGGCGCTCAACAATGTTCACCATGTTCAGATGTGCACGACCTACGACCGAGAGGAGCACGTGACGATATACGTGCTGGATGTCTTCCTGCAGTTGGCACCGAGGGGTCTGCCAAGTAGCGCCCTTACGGCATCGGCGTCAACGACCGAGCACAAATACAAGCAGAGCAAGCGCGAGCGCAGGCGGCGCGAGCTACGCGAGAAGGACGAGCTACGCGCAGACTACCAGGTGGAGCACCGCTACTTGACGTTCCGTGTACTGCGCGAGCGTATCGGCGAAGCTGTGGCGGCGCCCAAGGACAAGTCACACCCACAGTGGTGTCCGTACTGCACGCGCGTGCGGGAACTCGCGAACTCGGGCGTGTTTCCGTCCCGGTTCCCGAATGGCAGTATGGCTATCGCCATAGGACTGCGCGATTTGGTGGTGCGCAACCGCGAGGAGCGGCTGGAGTCGTTCGTGAACCTGCTACTTCGCGCCGCCAAGGACGTATCCTATCGCTCGGGGTGCAACCCGTGCGGGCGGTTCGAGGTGGTGTCGACGTTATTGAGCGACTTCCTGACGGAGCCGCATCTCCGGACAGCAGGCAGCGCATGGTGACGAGGCCGTCAGCGAGAGCAAGGGGGTCGGAACGATCCCGGAGAGCCAGCCGACCAGCGCCGACGCACGGTTGGCAGCGGCCAGTAGATTAGACATGGATTTGGCGCATCGGTTTGGTGTTGTGGCGTATTACTTGGCGTAAACGATCTTGCAGAGCGCCTGGATATTCACATGAAGTGTTCAGTTGAGCCACATCAGGTCTGACAGTTTTTTCGGGTGGCATACCGGTGCAAGACCGGTTTTGAAGGGACTGCACTTGTAATGAAAAATGAAGCGACTTTCTCTCAATTGACAGCACCGCCATTGGTCTCCAACTGACCAATGGGCAGCCCATTCCGTCATTCTCAGCTCAACCCAGTGCAGCAGGTCCTCCGGCCGCAACTTGCAACTTGGAGATGGGCTCAGCTCCACGGCGGCGCGGCGGGGTCGATGACGTAGCGTTACCCATCGTGTACCCCTTATTTACTTGTATGGCTGGGTTCACGCTACCACAATCTCGAGCGGAGATACAGGGCACCGGCTCCGTTCGATCGAGTGCGAGATGTAAGATACACTTCTTCTGCCAGGCGCCAAATTGGCGATAATATCGCCGTGCAAATCGGAATGGCATCGACTGTATCACCGATATTGGTCAACATGAGCCGACACTTCTACACCGGTAATATAATAACGCTCCAGAACAAGTGAATGATGAACAACCACAAGTCAGCTGCAGCGTAGCAACTAATAGTACTATTTCACAGCTGCGAGCAGTGTGACCACTTTTGAGGTACTTGGATTCAAAACCATGCAGATCTAACCTTCTGCACACCAAATGGGGTCGTGATGAACGCGAATATTATATTTATCGCAGAGCCTGCTTTCTATTAGAAACTATCTCCCTGGCTCAGCAGAGACGAGCAGAATGAACTTCTCTAGGGCTAACCTGACAACCGTCAATTGTCAGCAAAAATGCACCTTGCACTACCACACGCTCTCCGTCGCGAGCATATTTGGTGCTGACAAAAACGAGTTGAGGATCTGCGAAACTGCGAGCCTCGTCCGGTGCGGTACGACAGGTCTTTCGCAGCCTTGAGCACCTGGTCAAAAAAATCTCGAGTTGTAGCTTCCGGAAGTGCGTACAGATCCACGACCAGCCGATACGTGTGACCTCGATGCGACTGCAGTACGAGCAGTGCTACTGCCCCCCGCGCGCTTTATTAATAACGGTCTTCCTCCGTAGCTCGCGAAACTCGGAATGTGCTCCGATGGCACGAGCATGAGATGGAACCCTCTGTGTATCGGATTTTTATACACAAAGTATTCTATCTCTCGCTCGTGTCATATTTCGTCGCTTAAGCTGCGATCTTCTGGACATAGGTTCGCACGGAGTAGTCCAGGTGCTTTGATCAACTTTAATGGACTTTGTGGCGTTGGAATGGATCCGCTCATAATTGATGATTGGTACATCTCGAATCGAGAGCGACCGCATGCACTGCGGCGTACTGCATGTAAAAGAAAGCGATATTTTGATGCCGTGTTGCAGGACATTCACTGTTGCTGTCGTATGCAGCGATAAATTGATGCGTGTGCTCGCCCGGTTGATACAGTGAAGATGAATTCTGGAGTAACGCTCGAGTTTTATCTATCTTCACGTGATAACTTATCACTGATAAGTAGCTTTAGGTATCTTCGTTGCAAGCGTTCTTTATTGACTTGCGCTTCGAAGGACATGTACACCCGGGGCTAGTTATGCATCGCTACTTACATATCGTGGATACCACACATCATTGATATACAACACACGCCATCAAAACTGTTAATTTAAAAAAATTAATCTTGCATTCAACTGGTTCAACCTTGAATTTTCATCATCATCAAGGATGACACCCGGCTCCAGTCGTAGTTGGAAAAGGGATAAGTGCCAGACTCAGACACAGTCAAAACCACCACCTTGGTGACAAGTAAAAGTCTAAGAAATCCAAGCCACAGCAATGCCCAGCAGGGAACCCGAAAATGCAATACTTAGATTAATACATCGATGTGAGCTGAGAAAATTAATAATTCAATTATTTGCAAAACTTCGTAAGTCACGATTGTAGTTCAGAAACATTATCATCTCCAGCCTGGCTGGAGACATTCGCTTCCGTAGATCAGACAGTACCAGCTTAGCGAGAGAGAAGAAGCGCTCACACTCGTTAGACGTTGGCGGGATGTACGCGACGTCGACGTAGTGCGCAATTGCGTTTCTTGAACGCCGCTCTCACAATAGAACGCTCTTTGGCGGCTCATGAAGACGACCGTTCGAGATCAGGCGACCTAAATTCAGCGCAGGCTAATTTTTCCGCGACGTTCAGCGCGTCCCCACGCTGTAACTTGACTAGACCTTACTCAAAATTGGGGTTGTTCCCGTTGTGGACAGCCATAAATTAATAATTAAATTAAACAATTAGGATTAATTTTTACGCATATTATTTTTTCGGGTTCCCTGATGCCCAGACATAAAAACTACGACTTCGACACGGCCACCATTCTAGTGATACAGACACCGAGCGTACCAGCGAGATCTTGTTTGCTCAAAGACTCTCGACTCACCCAGCTGTCACGTGCCAAGGTTACCGTAGTGCTGAACGGCATCCATCATGTGAAAATGTGTAAGTCCAAGTGTAGTGGGTGGCGGCTTGAAAGCCCAACCACGACCACACTATACCTGACGAGCAAGCTGGACAACCAGCGTGTGGTTGCAGTCAGCCACCAGCGTGCCAGGTTGTTGCAGCTTACAACTGCAAGTTGCAGCTCGTCATCTCAAGCTGGTGAAGGTTCTAGTTAGGGAGTCCTTGCTAGAGGCTGGGCTATCACTGGGACGCTGGTGATAGCTATGTAGAGCTTTGGATTGCATGCATGTTTCTATCTCACTTTACATTTTACCAAGACACAAGCAATACAATCGGCTATACTTTAAGGAAGTGACAGCTTCCTTCGACCGTCTTGTATTCACTACTGCGACCTACTACACCAAGGAAGGAGAGCACGCGACGGTGTACGTACTACACCTTTGCCAATCCAAACTGGTGGTTAGGGATGGGTTGCGAAAATAAAATCCGATCGATCGATTCGATCAAATCCGATCATGATCGATTGTGATCCGATTGGCTGATCTATCGATCACTTTCGTTCCGATCGGATTCAATCGGATCGGATCGACAAGTTCACAGCCTTGTGTAAAAACGTTTTTAGGCCAATATATTTTTATTATACAAAATCTGTCATATTTGCTATAGACTCCTAGTTTTTGATACTCCTGCAGCAGGTGTATCAATAACAGGAGTCCTGCATCAATAACCGAAACCACAACTGTTAAGCAAGGACGAAGCAGCTGATCCCGTCGAGGCGTTGGAGTCCGCGTCGAATATCAGCATCGGCCCCGGCAGCGCCGATAGTATCGCTAGTTTAGGACGCAGGAGCAACCCGCGGCGTGTTGTCTATGAGGGCAGCGAGATCGACAGCAGTGACGCACATAGAAACCGTGAGAGGATTTAAAGCGCAGGAATTTGCCAAGACCACTGGAATGAACTGCTTATGAGACGAGGTGACGCTAGCGGGTTTTAATCGACAGCCGCAACCGCGCTGTCCATGTCATCGGGTGTTTGGCACAAAAGCACGTTGTCGCTGTCGGCCGAAACCATGTCCTTAAGGTATGGACTTGCTGCCTGTAGAGCTCCATGGGGATCCACTCGTACTGATAAACGCTGTAAACCCTTGAATCTGCGCGAACTGATCTTTGGTTACGTTGAAGTCCTTGATCTCGTTGCCCTGGATGTATAGCGATTCCAATCTGCTCGTGTTGAGCGACGACCCCGGAAAACCGTGAGAGCGTTGTGAGACAAGTACACTCCTTCAGTGCGGAGTATGTGCCGTCCACATACTCGGTGTGGATGCTTTCCACGACAAGTCCAGGTATTGGATCCAATTCGCGCATGAAGCTACTGCTGAGCGTCGAAATATTGCAGTCGCGCAGCGTCAGGTTCATCACAGTAACCGGCACGAAGGCAATGTTCGTCTTCGCCACGGAGTTCAGGTCAACGTTGTTAATCGAAAAGTCGAGGTGTTCGTGGAGTTGCTGACGACGGTCAATGAAGAGCTGGAAATCACGCGGTTTTCGTTGATGGATGCAATTTCAGCTGAAGAATCTCCAGTACCTTCGATCTGAAAGCTGTACAAACTGGAGGGGACCCAAATGGGACGGAAGGCGGTGAGCACCAGCTTATCCTAGGAGTGAATGCGTCATCGTCCTGAGCATATTGGTTCGCACTCGGTTCGGCTTGCGGACATGCACATGTGGCAGTTTAATCCCTTTCGACCTGCACCAGAAGTGCGAATTTTGCAGCAACATACTATGTCGTGAATTCTACTGTCATTTATGAGGTCTGTAGTGACTGCTCGGACCTGTATGAAGTGGAGGAAAACAAAGTATCCAAGAAGAGACTCTGTGTACGTCATTAACGTCGACTCGTGCATCTTCGAGGACGAAGACTTCATGGCTGCATTAGGTCCAGCAGTGATCGACGACGACTACGGTGAAGATTTCGTCGAGGACTACGAGTGTGAATGTGAATGGCTCTGAGTCAATTGGGTGTCTCGAGTGTTCTTGGATTGAGACTGGTACTGATGAAATTAAGACATACTGAGCTGACTTTGAATCAACGGATGCTTGCAATTCGCCTGTGATTGCGACTGGCTGAGCTGCGACTGAGTGAGTCGAGGACGCTCGAATAGAAGAGACTTCTTCAGTCCATTAACCTGTGCGTTCACAGGTTTATCAAGCGTTTGCAGTGCTCTCGGATGGTTCAGTACATTCTCTGGATACAGCTCCGACACGTCATCTCGAAGACTCAATCCAAGAACACTAGAAACTGTCAGCTAACGCAGCGTCGACTCAGTTGCTCCCAGCCTGGAACCTCAAGGGAAAACGTGCTGTCTCACAGTTAACTCACTGAATCGCAGAGTTCAACTCAATTTAAGGATACTCAACTGACTCAAAGCCAATTGATCACTTCCAGGAATCGCAGCTCACTCAGAGTCAACTCAGTCAATCGCAGAATCAATTCAAGCAACGCGATTCAAACAAGCTCAATTCGACGAATCCCTCGTTACTCAACTGCGAGCCGATGTGGAATACCATTTAAAGCGGACATTAAAAGCAACACTACGAGAGACA